AGTCAAATATAATTATATTTATTCTAACTTATGAGCTTAGACTTTGATCGAATGAATGAAGTTTGACTTGAAACTTGATAATCAAAATAGATTTTCAAATTAATTTAAAATATTCTTGAACATTTGGTTGAATTTTAAGCTCATTTGAATTGAGTTGAAACTCTGATATTGGTTCATTAAATTATTTTATACCATCTGAGCTAAGTTCACTAAACTTAAACCATGTGATTATTTGGTGAATTGTTATCTAAGCTTATACTTATGATACTTTTACTTAAATGTTAAAGAAGTAAAAAGGAAAAAATAAATTGAATAAACTGAACTAAGACTTAAACAAAATTTTTACCTTTTATTAATCCTCATAAGGTCAGTAAAAAAAAGCTTTGATTGATAGAAGTTTAGTAGAATGACTTTCATCTAAGGTCAGTATAAAAATCTGACCTCACACTTAAATAAAAACTTACAAAAAATCAATAAAAGAATAAAAAAAATAAAAGAGTCTTTCAGACATTTTTTAGTCAGCAACAGTGGCAGCAAGCCCCTTCTTGGCCTCAAATGCTAGGGTAACCTCAAACTTTACATCTATAGCTACATCATCATCTTTTTCCTCTTTTCCCTTACGAGTGTACTCCAAGCTGGTGTAGGTCTTCTCAGAGTTAAACCTCAAGACCCGAGCCTCAAGATTTTTTAAAAAAAAAGAAGAAGAAGCCTCGATCTTTGATTTTTTGGCTAGAAAAGAAGCTACCATAAAAAGTTCCCTGTGCATTGTCATTTTAAGCTTGTTTTTGGTGATGGTAGAGAGTTTAGCTAAGGAGCTCAATTACTTTTAGATAAGATTTATTGGTTTATTTCCCCTTTAAAAAAGGGCACCAAGCTAAATCTTTTTATTTTACCTCTTTTTGGGCCTTGATTTATGAAAAAAAAAAAGAAGAAAAAGTTAAAATTTTTGACTGGGTTGAAAGACATCTCTGTAAAAATGAGCTGAAAGCTAAAAAAATTTAAAAAAAATTAAAGACCTTACGAGGTTATCTTACACCTACCCCAATACTTGAATTTGTTTACTACTTTAGAAGGTCAGCTCATAAGCATCTATGACTAGCTTCTCTCTTTAAATGTAGTTTATTATTTTGTCTCGATTTGTGAAGTCTAAGATAAAGAGAGTAAAGAGCACATCAAGAAAATTTTTGGGCTAATTTATAATCTCTCATACACCAAACTCACCATCTTTATTTTTTTTCTCTTTTGGAGGTAGAGGAAAAGTAGCTTCTAGTTCTTTACTGAATTTGGGCAAGTTGTGAACAATTTTTTATTAGGTTGAGTTTTAACATAAAATCACCTTTTATCACTAAGGTATTTTTTTACAAAAAAAAATTTCTTGAATAGAGAAAGGCTGAGAAGAATACCTAACTATTGGCAAAAAATTATAAATCTTACTATATATCGAAATAAATTAGGGGTAAACTAAGTGATTGTTAAATTATAAAAATTAAAATTTTCAACAAATAAATAATGTGAAGGGAACCTTAGATTGGCCACCGTGGAATCCTAATATACATACAAAATCGATGAGGCTCTAACTTATGAGTGACCCAATTTGAGATGCTCGACATCATTATACTATACCCTTTATTTGAAAAAAGAAAGTTCACTTCCAGAGAACGGACATGATGAACTGAACATGTATTAAGATAATCTTTGAGGTTAGCCCTACCCTTTAAGTTTTTCATCATGTCCTAAGGGCTTATGCCTAAAGAATAGAGGATATAAACTGAGACCTCAACCAGCTCGTCTACCCCTAAAAAGGATTTCCCCTCACCTTTACTTTTTTTGACTAGATTATCCTTTATTGACTGATCTTCTTTAGAACCTTTCTCGTCGTTAGAGTCTTCATCATCAGAAAATTCAAACTCTTAAATAAAAGCAAAATTTTGAGTTAAAATAGTGGAAGAAGCACCAAATGTCAAAAAAGATGAAGGATAAAGAGACTTCTCAAAAAAAAAAAAAACTTCAATAAAAGCTAACCAAAGAGAAAGAAAGAATAAAGGCATTAATAATAGAAGGTTGAGAAGCAAAAAAAGTAAAAAGTTGATGAGGTTGAACCTTAGAAAAGGAAATAGCTGACAAGGAAAAAAGATCAACCGTAGAAGACAAATTGATCTAAGAGATTGGAAAAAAAGATTCTCTAAATAAAAATTTATTTGAGCACACAGCTCATTCACCTCTAGGACCCATTTTTCTCAATCTCGAGCATTCTCGTCAACTTTTTGCTACTCATCTTAAGACATTAGGTTGAATTATAGGATTGATTTTTATAGTCCCAACCTTTGATGATCAATAGGATTAGATCGTCATCATCATGCCCAAGCTAACCTACCCTTAGCTTTACCCTAAAACTTTTTTCACCCCCAAAACTAGCACTAGTAGACATGGTAAAAAGAATACGTACCAAAGTAAGGGGAGAGAATAGTTGTGAAAAAAAAAAACTATAGGCTAGGAAAGGCTGGAAAGCTTTTAGGTTGGAAAGTTTAGGTCTGATTGAAAGCAAGAAAACAGAAATGTGAAAAAATAAAGGTCCTAATAACCCTTTATATAGCCGTATCCCAGATTAGATGAACAGCCTAGATTATGCCACATGTTAGGATGCCATTGGAGAGCGTATTTTCACCTTTCTCGTTTTGAATTTTTTTCGCCCAAACAACCTCTCTCCTCATTAAATATGATCTCAATCACTTAAATCGGATATAACCCCAAGTCGAGCCAGTTTGGTGAGCCAATTGTCAGGTCACCTCTAAAGCATAAATAAGGATTCAAGTTCCTGGAATTGTTTAAGTCTCGCATCGGCCAGACGAACTCCATTAGCTTTCCTAAACCCTCTTGTCTTCACCATGGACCACTCAAGGTAGAGCCACTTCGGCAACCCATAAACAGGCCATATGCCTAACCTAAAATACACACAAAAGGTTACACTTATACCAGCATAGCCCAGATTGAGCCAAATAGCAAGTATATGCCCTTGATACTTACCTATCACATTGGTGTCAAGAGCATTTGACCTCAGTCGAAAGAGGTCGAATCTTTGGTAATCCTTTTAAATCGACAAACATAAGCACAATAAATTAATCACCTACCCAACAATCTAATACTCAAACTAGTTTGATGAAAGAACAAAATATTAGGGCATTTAATGGTCAAAAAGGTATTTTGATCTTTTCCTTTTATTAGAGGTTGCATTTTAGACATTTGAGCTGACCTAACATGTTCAGTACCACATCAAGCTCTGTCAAGTTACTATTGTCCCCCCCAAGTCCCTTGCTTTTTATCTATAAATATGAATATTTAGGTACTATCATTTTAAGTTTCATCTTGTTTAAATTCCTTACTTTTCTTTCCTTTCAATCTTCCTTATCCTAATTTATGACTTACGCATTATAGTACAAACGCAAGAAACACTCCCTACCTTTACATCTAACTACTTTTTTTCCTTTTTTTGCCTTTTCAAAAAGACCTTCCATATCAAAGCTCGACACAAATAGAATATTTCCCATTCCTTTACATTTGCCTTTCTTTCTGGTGCGTAGACCCACTTCTATTTTTCTTTTTCCTGTGATCCTATAACTCACATGAATCTTTTATAAAATGGTTTATAATTTAAATTATTTGTTTATTAATTAAAATGAAAATCTTTAAATAAACGATCTTCGAAATATCTTTGGACAAAACAGCTGTTCCTGAATTTTAATTTAGTTCCAAAGTATACATATTAATCAGAAGCCATTAAATTAAGAAAAATCATTATACATTCATTTAATACACATTTCAAAATTTTAGTATTTTTTTTACTTAAATTAACTTGATTAGTATGTTAACAGCCAATGAAACAATACTTTTTGCCTATGACCAACTGACTTTTAGGGGTAAATTTGCAATTCCATCTTCATGACATGAATAACACCATTCTTGGCACCAAACTAGATGACAATTGACAAATACATTTAATTAACAAGTTAATTAAAACTTAATTAAATTTGTCCAAATAATGTGGGATATTTAGTTAAATTAAATTAAGAAATTACTATTTGAAAGCTCCTCAACTGGCAGTCGCACTCAAAATATTGGGGTGAACTGCATGCTTTGTAATTAAACAAGACAAGTGCCTTCTTCAGAAAAGTATTAAAATAATTAAGCAACTTATAATTTATTTTAAGATAAATAATAATATTCTAATTGAGGTGATGCTACAATGAGGTTGCTCTCATTTAATTGTTATGAGCTCCATTCAAAGAACAATGGAGATTTGGACTTCAATCCACAATATATAATATAAAGTTTATATTTGAGACTTAAATTTTTTTTCCATTTACATTTTTGGAAGTTTTTCTTTGGATGAATTTATTTCTTTGATGTTTTAAATTATAGTTTTTGGGTTTAGAGCTAATCCCAGAGCGGCTTGAGATATGTCACATATATCTTATAACATTAATACCTGAATTATCGAATCCTAAATCATCAATGGAATTGGAATGATGCTAATCATAAACTCAAAACTCAAAACTCAATTTGTTAATGTTAAAAGATTATGGTTTTTTCTAACTTACAGGTTTTAAATCATCATGTATGTTTGGAAAAGCATACATAATGCAAAAGATCTACATGATGTTGGTTGGTTAACCAAAGCCAAGCCCAAACAATAATGAAGATCTTTGAAAGGCAGAGTATCTATCCACGTTGATGAAATCTAGTGGCTCATAGCGTGAAGCTGAGATATCATGCAAAGCACATCATCTACTCTCCATATTTCTAATAAAGTTCCCACTCTAGGTTTATTTTGTTCCATTAATAAATCAATAACAAAGGCCCCTTTCTCTCCACAAATAAAAAATCAATATTTTATACCTTCCAAATAATATAGAAAATTTCCAAAATAAACACTCTTGAGAATTATATAAGCACCCAATTACATGGCTAAAGACTTAATGTGGCTTTGGAAACATTTTTCTTTGCTTTTCCTTGCCCTGTATTTAAACAGACAAATCCTAGTACTACTGCTGCGCACCTTGTTCTCATTTCTCAACCTTCTTCAAAGGACAACATTATTATTATAAATGAAAGAAAGAAGTGAAGGGAACAAAGGGAAGAAAGGACGAAAAGGGGAGATGGAAGAGACAAAGTCCAGGTTTACTAGGATTTGTGTGTTTTGTGGGAGCAGTTCTGGGAAGAAAGCTAGCTACCAAGAAGCTGCTGTGGAGTTAGGCAAAGAACTGGTAATTTGAAACAATCAACTCTTTCTTTCTGGGGATAATTGTTTTGTTCTTCTTTTCCTTTTTCGTTTCATTTGTACTTTTCCTGAGAAAATTAAAATAATTCCAATTTGAACCCTTTTTCTTTTTTGTACTTGTTTTCAGAACTATACTCCAACATTTTGTCATCTCAAGCTGAGATTTTAATTTCTCATTGATTTCAACATGGAGTTATTGTTTTGTTTTTCTAGAAAATCTGATTCATTGAATGAGTTTTTTTTTTTAACTTGGTGCAGTTCTCTTCCATAGTTGAGGAAAAACTTTCCTTAATTTCTTCTTCATGGTTAAATTTTTAGAATATCATGAGTTATATTCCTTTTAGATCCCAGGAATGATTTTTCTTTTATGAATTCTTTTTCTCTTTCTTCTCAAGTTGGGGGGTGGGTTGGGGTGTTGCAACTTGAAACAATCAAGCCTTCGACGTGCGCTTATGATTGTGAAGAGGAACTAGCTGTATAAGGCGAGAAGGCTTAGGGTTTATGTTTGGCATGAGAGAGAGAGAGACGGACAGAGAGACAGACTTTGCTAGCTGTAACCTGCCTGTCAGTTGAGCAGCCTTCTTGCATGATCCTTTGTTTCATGTTTTTTACAACAAAAAATGAAATTTACTAACATTAATCAGAATAATAATAATGCTAATAATCATAATCATAATCCCTTGCTTTTATCAAGGGAAACAAACGTGGCTGCTCTGACATCATGACTCCTTTGAGCGTGTTCTCCCTTTGGGACTTCTACAAGAAAACCTCCATGATTTTTGTTTATGGGGTTCCATGAAAAATAAATTTATGTCATTCCCTTTGTAGGGTTTTCGTTTTTTATCATTCTCTTTTCCACTCAGCCTTATAATTGTTTTCTCAATTTGTTTATGTTTCCAAATGTAAATTCTTGTACCTAGACGAAAATTTAATGTTTATGTCCTTGTGACGCGTGATAATGGGGTTTGGTTTTTTATGCATTTTGTTGTTTTTCCGAAGGTGGAGAGAAGGATTGATTTGGTCTATGGAGGTGGAACCGTGGGATTGATGGGTCTTGTTTCTCAGGCAGTTCATGATGGTGGGCGCCATGTTCTAGGGTTTGTTTTCTCTCTTTCTCTCTCTTTTTCTTTTTGGTCTTCTTCTTTTATAAAACAAGATCAGTGTACTTTTTTTCTTTAATCTCGGGGTAATGAACTTTGTGGTTTTTTTTTTTGGGGGGGGGGGACTTTGGGGGGGGGACTTCGAAATGGGTTTTGAGTATTTGATATTTTAAAGAGCTTTTCCCTCTTGAACCATGCAAATTCTTCTCAATAAAGGCTGATATCATGGGATCAAATGCTTTTCCAGAGAAAATAATTGATTTGTCCTTTTTTTATTATTATTAATTTTCACGTGTAAGACGTTTCTGTATTTACAAAGGCTAGCTTTTTAAGCGGCTTTGATCGATTGGGAAAAGTGAATCCCTTTTGGTCCTTGCATTGTCAGTCCACAATTGTACTGTAGCTTCCAGTTAAAGTTCATTTTAAAGTTGTAGACTTTAGGTCTTAGAAACTTTTTTTGTAGTCATTGGAGCTCCCTCGTTTTAACATAAATGAATGCTTCTTACATTGATAAAATGACTTTGATGCCCCTAGGAAAAACATAATTTTGATAATTGTAGTCTTAATTTCCTCCAAATTTGAAAGTAGAATACACTACATTCAATTCTTTGTTTTGCGTCTTTGGAATGATACTGATTTATTGTTGGATTTTGCAGTGTTATTCCTAGGACCCTGATGCCTAGAGAGGTAAAAATTCCGAGTCCTGAATCAAATCTCCAACTTGTTCTGAGTTGTCTGCAATGTTACCTGATTTCTGTTTCCCATGGAACTGGTCATTCATTTACAATGACATGGCTGAAAATATAATAATATAGCAGTGTAGCTATCCAGCTGCAGCTGTCAATTATCTATCCTAATTATAGAACTAGTAGCTTTGCGGATTCTAATGATAAAAGCAAAAGAAATGAAAGCTGAAACGCAATGAAAAATTGTCACTTGGTTCACTCTCATTTACCTATGTCTGCTGTGTGTTCACAACAATAGGCAGTTAGTTGCTGTATTGGCTTGTTACTTAGTGGATATCTGATTGTTTAGTAATAACAAATTCCATAACTTTTCTATGGAATTTTATTGGGAGTTGTTCCCGGTATTTTGTTTGAAACATATGGGGTGTTGTTGCAGATTATTGGTGAGACTGTTGGAGAAGTAAGAGCTGTATCTGATATGCACCAAAGGAAAGCTGAAATGGCTCGACAGGCCGATGCCTTCATTGCACTCCCTGGTATGAATTCTATTCAATTTGGACATCCCTCTCTTATTCTTATATTTTGTCAGTCTTTATTGAATCCATTGATCAGAATGTCCTAAATATGTGCGACCATGCGTGCTTGCATCACATTATAATTTATTAGAAATGCTTGCTTGGAATGCTCAAACAGTACTTTGTGCTTACATGTAAATATGTAATGTTTTATTAAATTTCAGGTGGCTATGGCACCCTTGAAGAACTACTGGAAGTCATTACATGGGCTCAGCTTGGAATCCATTGTAAACCTGTAAGAAATATGTTTTGTTTCCCTACGTATGTTTAGTTATGTCAATTACTGAGTTTGATGGTTTCAAGATCTGGTAGATGACAGATACGGGTCTCGAATAAAAAAATATTTGCACGTAACTGTCGAAAACTGAACACGTAAACAACTTTCTTTTAAGTGGTAAAAACAAATCAAGGCCATGGTCGTTTGTTACAGAGAAAATAATTGAAGTTGTCAATTTCAGGGACATGTGGCCTTCCCTTAACAAATAAACAAATGGATTTAGGTGTTTTTTGTTCAACTTAGATCATTCTAACACGTTTATTGTCAGGCACTCCTATGTTCACATGACATCATGCTTTGTCTTGTAGAACACAACTTGGTTTCTAGTCTTGTATCAATGTATATTTCCATCCTGTCCGCAAGCCAAGTAGCGCTGATTCTACGTGTTTGATTTCTCGTGTTTCTTGACTCTTGAGTACATACTCTTTGAAAGCAAATTTGACACGATTTTGATAAATTAATATCTTATAAGTTATGATGTATTAGAAAGAAAAAACTTAAGAATCAATGCATGTGGCATGTGCTGCTTCAATATATTAATTCACATGGAAGGATATCATAAGATTTGATAACCTCATGATACTCGTGCTTCATGATTCGAAGAATTGATTGGAAGATCTCCGTTTCAATGGGAGAAAAGCTCTCACGTACTATTTAAAATTATAAAAAAAAAAAAATACAACTGTTGTTCAATTGAAGGTGGTGGTAACTTGTCTTAGATAATTTATATTATAATTTATATCCAATAATTTAAAAATATTATAATAATTCAATCGACTTGAATACTATAATTTATATCCAATAATTTAAAAATAATTCATGCCCCTTTTTGCAGGTGGGCCTCTTGAATGTGGATGGATATTACAATTCTTTGTTGTCTTTCATTGATAAGGCTGTTGATGAAGGCTTCATTTCACCGGCCGCACGTCGTATTATCGTATCCGCCCCAACAGCTAAACAATTGGTCAGACAACTAGAGGTAAGCAGTTCCTTTCCAAATATTCAATAGCAAATAAAATTTTTTTAAGAAAATGAATAGGAAACTCACTTTTTTTAAGGTTGAATAATCCCAATAATGGCCACGACTAAGACTAATTTAAGTGGAATTATTATATGCACCTTAATCCCCTTTCATTAATCATTCTTTCTTCAAGGCAATGATGTCTCCCCACCTTTGCATGAGAGTGACTGATTCAAGAAACCAATTTCACATGGTGTTTTGAACATATAATAAGAATGAAATTAACCTCATTGACTATGATTTTCTGTGTTAAACAGGAATATGTTCCCGAGCACGATGAAATAGCATCAAAATTAGTATGGGATGAAGTGGATAGATCACTCAGCTATGTGCCGGAATCCGGGTTTGCCACATGATATATCGCTTGGTTATGTATATTTCCTGCTGGGGGCTTTTGCCTACGAAGTATATAAAGTGGTATATACTGTCGCAATACCGTACAACCATGAGAGCACAGGGGCTTCTTGGGGGCATTTTGGAAATTGGCCAGCCAGCACAACTCTCACAAAAAAGCCTGATATATACTTGTCCATAAAGAAAAGACGTAGTGTCGTTGTCCCCCTTTGTGAAACCGTGAAGAAATTATCAATTCAAAACTAGTTTTGTTTACAACCATTAATTCTTTAAGCTTCTCTCAATATATAGTTATTATCTAAGAAAAAATGAATGGTTTTTGTATGTTCCGTGCAAAAATGAGTAAATGATGGACTGACTTGAAGATTCCTTGTATTTAATATATTTATTGCTTGACTTTAAGGGCAATTGATGGACAAAGTTGTCTCTTAATAACTTTCTAAAATTATATGCCATTTTTCATATTTATTGCTATAATCCAAGGGCTGCTTCAATTTTATTAGTAATGGCTAATGAGGATTTAATTTTGAATATCAAACATGCATTTATATTTCAAAAGAGGTTTAATGGTTATTAATTTTTGTTTAACAAAACCCTTTTCCTTTAATTCCACATGTAAAAAGAAAGGAGCAGACAGTTGACAAAAATTATAGAGAAGGTGTGGTTTTTTTTTTTTTTCATTCGGGTTTATATTTTTATCTTTAAAATCGATTTTAGTATTGACGGTCTTTGATAGTCTTAAAACCAATTCCAATATCAATTCATTGGTAACTATGGAGAAGATTTCCTAATTATATTGTCATCTTTTATAGTATTGATATATATAGCTAGTTCAAGTAAGGACTAATATCATTTGCTTGTGGTAGACTAGACATTGACATCCAACTATTTGACACTTCAACTTAGAAGAAGCCTTTTACATCAAGATAGGTGGAAAAATATTGTTGAAAAATGTAATGTGGTCCAAAGGAATCCTACCATTTAAAAAATAAAAAGAAAATGATAAAAAAATCATCGAATATTAAAGATAACTTATTCTTAAGAAAATTTGGAATCTTTAGATATGAAATTTTAACAATACATATAATTTTCAATACTTACACAGCTCACAAAATGTAAGTAGCAGTTAAATAAGGTTATTTAACTTCTTAATTAGTCATGCTTATTCATAGTCGATCAACTTATTGATATGCTAATATGCTTATGCTTAAGCTTAATTGATAAACTTAAGTAATCATGCTTACGCAATTTCAAGTGGAGCCTTGATAAATGAATTGAATATATGTGGTGGTTAGAACCCAAGGAATCGGTTGTTTGTTCTATAGTTACTATTCAGTGGATTTTTCCAAGTAAGAATCTCCTAGCATTCAATGTTGATGGTTGGCAAGAGGCAAACTTAGCTCTGCCAGTTGTGGAGGTGTTTAAGACACTCACAAGGGGATTAATTTCGTAATTATATTATGGTCCTCTCGGTGAAAAAGACTCGAATGTGGTTCGACCTTGCTATTGCACTTGAGATTCTATTACGAAATTGGGACTGAACGGATCAAATATTTTATGTTTGGATGTAAAACTTTTTAATTATGACTTTGCTTTGTTGTGGTGTAATTGGCTTTGTTTTAGCTTTTATCTAGTCTCTGTTTTTAGAATCATGCTTCGGGGATGAAACAATGGAATTGCCTTATCTTTTATTAATGAAAATTTATTATTGGCCGGGCAAAAAAAAAAAACTTATTGGTATGCCCACATCTACCATAAGAGGCGGAGACAAGGTGGCAGGTAGAGGTCACGGCCTCCCCTAAATTTCAGCTCTTTTATTCTGCGGTAATTAATTTTATCAAATTCCTACTTTATCCTCTTTTCCATTAAAATTATTGTTTTATCCTTCTCTTTATTTATTTTGTCTTCGTCCTTATCTATCATAATACTCCAATCATGACGTGGAGTACAGTGGCAAATACATATTTATGACTTTAGGACCATATTTAATATATAAAATTATTGATAAGATAAAATGATAATAATTTTATATTATATTTGATTTATATTTAAAAAAAAAAAAAAGATAAAGATTGCAAGAAAAATTAATATTTTGTTGTATAAATTATTCAATCTTTTTAAAATAAAAAAAAATTATTTTTAATTTATAAGATTAAATTTATATGTCCAATTATATTCTTAAAAATTATATTAATAATTTGAATTATATAAATTTTAAAAAAATAATTTTAATAAATAAATCAATTATCATATTTTAATTTTTTTATATATCAAATATAAAATAAAATAATATTATTTAATCTAATATAAGAAGCATGACCTTAACTTGTTAAATTGCTTATCTTGTTGTCATCCACATCATTGAATTATAATAGTTCCCTTAATTATATTAAGTGATGTCACCATGATTGCAAAATGAAATCATCATTGGATCATTAGAAAGTGGCATGGGCTGGGAATGTGTGAACATAGTATCCCTTAACAACCAACAAAAAAAACAATGTTCTATTTTTTAAAAAAAATAAAAATAAAAATAATGCCCAATTTATGGGGAGAAATGGGCCGTGAATGTGATCAACTCATCACATTGTTATAGTGAATGCTGAATATAACGTGAGACACATGATTGATTGTTGATCCAACTGATTGGAATTTTGATGACTTAAAAGATTAGATCTGTGTAATCCCACATCAGGATTCTTTGCAATCAGCCAAAACATGGTCAACCCTATCTAGGGTTCTGATTTACTCGGAAAAATTGAAGAAAACAATGCAGACAAAAACCAACAGGTGACAGGTCAAATCCAAAGCTGTCCCAAGTTTTTGTTTTAGAAAATGGCCTGTGTCAACATCAGCTGATTTGTTCATTTTCAATTCTTTTAGAAATTAAATATCTACTGATTTACCATCAATCCGCTAGAAAAGATTCTTTTCTTATTCTTTCCAAGCATTGCCAAACCGGGAAAGAACAATGAAGAAAAGTGAAGTACTCATTTTCTCCCCTTTCCCTCAATGTCATATGATCATCAACCAGAGGTTCAAAACCTTCCAGCAGTAATGGCTCTCTGCAATTTTTCTTTTTTGTCAACCTTATCTGTCCAATAATATAATAAAATCTAACTATCCATTCCTCACATCCTCAAGTACCAAAAAAAAAAATGCAAAAGACCAATGCCAACATGATTATTCCCCAGCGATTACTGTCCAAAGCTCCACAATTGATAACAGAAACAGATACATAAAAACAAAACTCATTTAGACATTCCTAATGGACTCTTGGCTACCCTCAAATTGCTGCAAAGTACTCCTTGCTGAGCTTAGGGTCTGATTTCATGGATTTCTCTCCAGGCTTCCACCCAGCTGGGCAAACTTCATCTGGATTTTCCTGCACATACTGCAAGGCCTGCAGGAAGTGCACGCCAAAAAAAGGACGCAGCAAAAAGCAAAGGACAAGACATTACATGCCAGAAAGGAAACTTCTACCATAAAGTAACATGCAAAATCTTAAAATTTAACTCTTAGAACCCATTGGATGTGCGGTGGGAGGGGCTCCCACTGCACTGGCCCGCCAATCAGGAATGGACTGATGCATCCAAAAGGGACTATAGTTGATTGCTGATTTCATTAAGGTAAAATATAATTACCTGGAGAGTCCTCATTGTTTCATCAACACTCCTCCCAATGGCAAGGTTGTTAATAGTAGAGTGCTGGATAATTCCCTCCTTATCTATAATGAAAAGCCCTCTCAATGCAATTCCCTGACATCCAAAGTGAACTTGTAAGAAATGTATGGTACAGATCATATTTGCAATGAAGTGCTCACTGCGGGGAAAAATGCAGTGAAGGAACATAAGCAGTCCAAATACTTGCTAACTTTTTTTTTAAGCCCAATAGCATTTTAAAAGAAAACCCTAAGCGGACCCTAATCTCTCATCTTCTTTTCTTCCATTAGCTTTGTGACAGTCACAGAACTCCCTCCTTACCTCCATTTCTCTCCTCTTCTTCTTCTTTCAATTGCAACGCCATCTAGAGAAGAAAATCTTTATTTCTTTAGAAATTTTGGAACCCCATTTTTGGGGATCCAGATAGTGAACAGGCCTCTCCATGGCCATAAATGACCAGCAAACTGGATCCCACAATTTGGTTCGTGGTTCCAAAGGGGGGAGCGAATTTGTTGACCGTGATTCAGTCACTCAACCAAAATTTCAACTTGGGCTGATAGAGAGAGAATGACACAAGAGAGTGAGTGAGATGGCATGGGTATGGAAAACAACTTTCAGACCTCAACTTGTCAAGTGTCTTACAAAAACTTTTATGCATTCTTTTTCTAAATGCAAAACCTTTTTGTTTGACCACAATATTCTTGGCTTACCAAACACTAAAACAAGGAAAAAAATCAATCCCAAGAATTCATTTTAGATGAAGCAATCAATCCCTAAGGGATAAGGAATATACAGATATATAGACCTATGAATGAGCAGCACTTAATCATGAGCCTTCAGCTGTGCAGTCAAGTTTCCTCTTAGGTGACAGTCCAGCCAGCCATGAACATATCCCCAAAATTGCCAAAAGGAAAAACTACACAATGTAATATGCAACATTCTTGCATGCTACATATTCGAAAAGTTATTATCTCATACCTGATCAGGAATCAGCACTCCATACGATTTGGAAATTGTCTTCGTGACATCAGATATTAATGGATACTTCAAATCACCAAGACCACCTGACTTCCTATCTGTCTGAACCCAGGCAAGGTGAGAGAACTGCATAAAGAATAAGTTGAGGTTAAGTTTTATTTACCTTGAATGCAAAAACATAATCTAAACTATAATGCAACAAAGTAAACTTCATTAGAAAATTATAAATGCAGATGCCTCAACAAGCATATCAATTCTTACTTATCCCCGGTGATAACTATAATCCACACTATAAACATACACTTTACATAGACTTCAAGAGAAAACTAAAAAATGCATAGCATCAGCAGCAAACATACAAAATCCACTAAGATCTTAGTAATATCAACTTTTACATATTAGATAAGCTAACAAGCAGCGTTTGCTGGTGATTAAGCAACTTACCAGATAGTATAAAGTAGCAAATATTAAATTGATTGCAAATCACTAATACATCATTGAATGCAGAGATATTTTGCAACTAGAACAGGAAAATCGTCTATTTATTTTCCTTTCCTATAAACATCTCTTTTGATCTACTCTGAAATACTTGCTATAACAAAGCATTCCACCCGGGTAACAAAACCCTTACCATTTCATCAGTGCTACTACAAATCTTCTAGAACTGCAGACCTAAAAGGTAGTGTATAGATCATAAGAATATACATATATATATATATATATATATATATAAAAGCAATTAGCATTGCATAGGATACACTAGCAGCATGGCTTAATGAGGGAAAGGAGTATTTTGTAATACAATGTAGATAGAAAAGTTAACAACATTTGGTAAGACAATGTGCAACTCTGTGAATTTATTATAGGCCCACTATTTCAGTGATGAGATCTGCAATGCAATTTTGCTAATCACTACAACCATTTATCTTCAAAATCAGTCAATGACAGCCAAACACAACTAACATTTTTATGTAGCTGTGCAAGGCAAAAGGAACTCAACCACAAATCCTACCCAATTTATTCAAAAAAATTCAACAGATAGACCTGATTAACCTGAAACCCAATTAGATTTTAGCAAGTAAATAAGGCAAACATTGACCCAAAAGTGAATTGTCCACTTAAAATGTCCAAAGCCCAACCCTATCCAACCTGAATTGACTAAAAACAGTGAAAACACCTGAAAGACAATTTCCAACTCTATGCATAACCAACAAGAAAAATATTTAAAACTAAGATGAAGATGGAAGCATTCATTCAAGAATCTGCTGTGCCTGTAGAAAACTACTAACTTTTGTTATGGAAAAGAAATATACACATTTTTTGCTATAACAATAGGAAGGAGCTGGGATGAAGAATACAAGTTTTTCTTTTGCCTTCTTTTGGTAACAAGCTACTTACCACACTGTCAATAGAAACACCTAATATTTCCGTGTTTAGCTTCTTAAATTCTTCATAGCGGTCACTGAAAGCAGTAATCTCTGCAAGCAGGAAGAAATAGGGGAGGTATAAGTAAGAATGAGAATCTAATATCATAAAAAAAAAGTCTGTTTAAATGTTCAGAGTCAAACAAACCTGTGGGGCAAACAAATGTAAAGTCCAATGGGTAGAAGAAGAGAATCACATATTTCTTCCCAATGAATTCAGAGAGCTTGACCTGAAACAATAAATGCACAATTTAGAATAAAATTGGAAAAAAAAATTGAAGTGGCTAAATATGCTTCAGAACAAACATCCGCATAAAATACCTTAATGAACTCCTGATCAAAGACAGCCTCTGCCTCAAAATCAGGAGCAGTATTTCCCACCAGTGGAAGCTCACTCTGCAAGAAGATGGCATGAAATGAGAAACCAAATCATTTATGCCAAATGCAGATACAGAAACAAAAAATGACCTTAAGGCAATAATGTGCCATCAAAACATTCAGAAATTGTTTAGAATAAATAAATTCCATGACTTTTTTTAAATTTCACTTAACATTTGTAATTTGCTCCTCTTTTTTTGTTTTAATCACCAAAATTATTTATTTTAAACATACTAATTCAATTAAAACTTCATTCTCAAATGATGTAAATATCCATTTCCATTTGGATGCCAACAACGTTTTTCCAATGGAGTTAGCTTTAGCTTACTATTTCACCTTTTCAATGGAGTCACCCACATTTATAACGCAAATCCTTTACTGGGTATAATCAATATTTCCATATTTGTCTAAAATCAAAACCGATTCCAAATTTATCATTTTTAACTCATTCTAATCAATGCCATCTTAAAATGACAAACATGTTCATGAAGGCAGTTAAAGCCTGGACACATCCTAAGAAATTCTTCTTTCAATTGTTCTCATTAATAAAAATAACGAATTAAATAAACTAAACATCACATTGCAGTCCATCCCCCTCCACATTCAACCAAACAATTTCCATAATTTGAAGAGTTAATAGAAAAAATGGAAAAAAAAAACGCAAATAAAAAATAATGGAAGTGAAGAAGATAATTTTAAAAGCAATATCATACGCTGGCTTTGACGACTAAAGTCTTTCGAGAATGGGAGTCGCAGGAGTGGGAAACGGAGCGGGCAACGCGAGATAGGAGAGGAGCACGGAGACCGGTGAAGGAATTGGGGAGAGGAAGAGATAGGGAGGAGGGCTTGGATTTGGGGGAGAAAGCTCTGAGGTTTGAGGAGATGAGAGCTGCAGTGGTTGAAGTAGCTGAGCAAGCCATTTTTTCTCACCCACTCTGGGAGCCTACGAGGAGAAATGATATATCTGGTGGGTAAGAGGATAACTGGAAAGTGTGGGGGTTTTATATTGGGTTATCGGCCTTCATTTTTTCTTCCTAATCCAATACCACCCTCCCGTCAATCGCCTCTCTCGATGATCTAAAATCAACCGTAGATTTCCTCGCCTCCATGAACTTCACTACACTCGAGCTTCGCCGAATCCTCTCCATGTGCCCCGAAATCCTAACCGCCAAATCAATTTCACTCCTCCAAATCTTCACTTTCCTTCTCCGTGAAACCCTCGTCAACGGCTCTGATTTAAAGAATGTGATCAACCAACGGCTCAGATTTCTCACATGCAACGGGGAGAGCCAACTGCACCCCACCCTATATTTCCACCAAAAACATCGGAATCTCCGAGGTAAAAACTGCACTTCCTTACTGTCTTGCGGCGTGGAAAACAAACTGATACCTCGTATCGAATACTTCCAAAAGACCGGATTCTCATACAGACAAACGGTTTCCATGTTCCGTAGGTTTCCTCAACTGTTTAATTACAATGTTAAGGAAAATTACGAGCCCAAACAAAATTAATTCGTGGTGGAAATGGGGAGAGATTTGAGAGAAATCAAGGAGTTTCCTCAGTATTTTTAGTTTAGCTTGGAAAACAGGATAAAGCCGAGGCACCAATATTGTGCTGAAAAAGGGGTTTGTTTTCCTTTGCCTGTTTTGTTAAAGACAAGTGAAGTTGGGTTTCATAACAGGTTGGAGGTTTGTTGTGATTCTTCGTTGCCTTCTAAGAGCTCTCCTTTGTGTTGTACAAAAAATTGTGACATTTAATATATGATTCAATATACAGTGCGAAAAAATGAATTGATTTTTACTTATATTTTTTTTTCTTTTACAACCATGTACAATTTTGTGATTGGAATCTGAAATTAAAATGGGTTACCTTCAAACTTTTATATGGCTCCATTTTTGTGATTCAATTTAAGTAGATAGAAATGAAGAGGAACAACAAGAGTAAAATTCAAATCGACGAAAATAGGTTACAATTGATTTTTATAATTATTTTTAAGATATGATTTCTTACGGGGATCAAAATTTAAAATTTTTTTACATTTTTGCTCTTTAAAAAGTAAACGATACGATTAAGATTTTGTTTAAATAATTTTATCAATTCATGTATTTGTATAATGTAAAATATTGATAATTCATATATTTTTATTATATTTTATACAAAAATTACGTGTCATAATTCATATCAATATAAAAATATAAAAATTATTTTTTTTATTTTTTTAGATTTATTTACGTTTTTTGTTAAAAATTTAAATTATGTTATTTTCATATATTTTATTTATATCATTTTTATATTATATTAATCTATTATGTTTTAACTTGTTAAATCTTAGTATAGGAATGTTAAGCTTGTGCTAGCCTTGATTTCTTCAAGGGAATATCCAACAATGTTCCTTTTCCTTCTGAATATATCTCAACAAATGAATGACTTTGTTATCTCCTACATCGATTCCTGCTTATACATTTGTGTATAGGAACAAGAACAGATAAACCAAGACTAGCTAACTTTTCAATAGAATCAAAAGTTCAACATTCTGAAATAGGAATAAAAGGCACTAGGTTGAGGGTGGCAAGAGGAAATAAGCCCTCCAACTGATCCACTTGACAAAATGGACCAAACTTTTTGTTGCAATAACCAAAAAAAAAAAAAAAAAGGAGGAAATTCAGGCTTCTGATTCAACAATATTAGAATTATAACATTGCTCAGCTATTATAATGAATAATAAGGATCAGGTATCAACACAATTGTAACACCTATGAATCTTAGATTCTAATTTTAGCAAATACCTTACAACTGGAAGAATCTTAAGACCATACATTTTTCCTTGATCCCACATTTTCATTTTTCTTATGAAAGAAGAGTTCAAGTTGTAAATCTGATCAATTGGACCATTTTAGATATTTAGTTCCCCTTACAACCATTACCCTTTTTCGTATTAGTTATAAATTGAGATTTTAATTTGAAATTTTCGAATTTAATCATAAAAGATAGAATACATGATTTATAAAATGAGATTGGGTCATCACTTTGTTGCATTGTTGAGAATTACATGCATTTAAAAAAATTTTAAAGAAAAAAGAGGAATCGGATGGTTGTCATTTTGCCATTTGTCATGATAGGCCTTTTAGGTCCTTCCAAGTTTAGGGTTTTGATGATGGGTAACAAAATGGATGAAGACGAATAAATGACAAAAAACGCACTACAGCTCTTTTGTAATTTCCATTTTTGACTTTTTTGCATTTTATCCTTCTTTTGTTATCATTTTGTAGAAACACCTCAACTCTTTCTACATTAGCAAATTTCCTACTATTTTTTTTAAAATATTCTTTTAAGATATTTTTTGTTTGGATTAATATCACAAATGATTTTTATAGTATAGTAAAATATTTAATATGTATTTAAATTTTAAAAATTATTTATATAACATATGAATTATAAATTTATTAATTAATATGATTTTTATCTTGAGATGTAATGAATTAATAATCCTTTAGATATTATATTAATTATTAATTTTATAATTCAAATATTATACTAAAAATTTTTAAAATATAAATATTATATTAAATATTTTATCATATTTTAGAGATTATCGGTGATATTATTTTTTTTTACTTTAATTGTTTTTAATCTACGAATTAGATATTGAATTTCTTATCTTGTTTTGGGATACAATTGAAAATAAAAAAGGTAAGAGCTCAAAAAGGGAAAACTAAAAGCTTTAATACATTATTGTAATTTTAAACAACATACTTCCCTCCACGTCCATCCGAACTAAAATTCCCTCCCTTCCCTCGTGACTGCTCTTTAACCTGTCCCTTCACAACTTTCCTCCTCTCTTTCTCTAACGCTCATTTTCTGTCTCATCCTCCTTTTTCAATTCCATTTTTACCCTCGTCTCTCTCTCCGTTTCCCTCTCACTGTCCCTCCAAATCATAAACCTCCATGTCCAGCGGCGCTCGAGCCTCCGCACGTCCCACTCCGCCGTATCCTCCTCCTTCCCCGGTTGTCCCTTCAGCACCAGCATCGATGGGTCCTTCGATTGTTCCGCCGATACGTCGCCACCTGGCATTCGCCTCGACAAAGCCGCCGTTTGTTGATCCCTATGATTATCACAGATTTTCCTCTAATAATAGTAAAAATAATTTAACCGGCACTCTTAATGCTCATGGACTCTTCGCCGATCAAGAAGTTGAAGCAATTGTTGTGAGGTCCCCAGTGAGTTTTTGTAATTTTCATTTTTTTGCATTTAAAAAATATGGTGGTGATGGCGTAATTGGTCAACATATTTTTAATTTTATGAGAATTTTATAGTTAGATTTGGTTAGATTGAATTATTTATGGTAATTAATATTCTATTCATTTTTATGTGCTTAATTTTGTGGATTCTTTTATCTATTCATATTGAGAACCTTTCGTGGTGGCTAGTTTACTTAGGGGGATTTAAATCATCAGTAGCATTATTTGTTTCTGCAGTGAAATTGTTATGCATGTATTTTAATATGTGGACTTTTCACAGGGCATTTACGTTTTTGGTGATGTATTTGATGATATAATGGACTTCGCGTAGAGTAAAGTGTTCATTTGCTGTACTAAGTTGAAATTTAATGAATGCCGGCCTCAACCAGTTTCCGGAACTTGATGGCTTCTACATTCTGATGTCTTAATTTGAGAGGGCTAAGTTTTAGTGCTATCATTTTTTTTTTCAGACATGCTGATGAGTGAATATCTAGCTATTGAGTTTTGGTTTTGATGTTTTGGATTTTAAACATAATTGCAATTGATAGTATATTAGTTTTATGTAATAAACTTGCTATTCCCAGAGAGGAAGCTGATGCCTGTGCTGTATTCTTGGTTTAAAGCAGAATATTTGATGCCATGCCCGTTATGAAGAAGGCTTGACGTCTGTTAATTCTTTGGATGTTGCAGCTTTGATGGACATTTGATAAATGATTCAGTTGATATTGTTATGCCTATGACTGCATAATTTCTCCCTTCTGTATGATATTGATTGCTAGTCTGTCACACAAACCTGTGTTCATATATGACATTCCTTTTTCTTATTGTCCTCCACATAATAACAACTGAATTAATAGTTGTTTTACTTGATTTTTTCATGACATTGATCTCTCTGTGTTTTGGCTTTTTTGCTAAACTTTTTAATCAAGTAGTCAAGTAATTCTGATGGTTCTTATGGCTAACAGTATGTTTTCTTGTGCGTGCTGTCCTATACTTGCATTTGTTAGACTTAGGCTCTTTTTAATTTTTTTTTCAATTAAATAGGCTGTTAATGTAAATATAACCATACACAACTACTGGTTTTTCTCAGCAATTAAAAAGGAAGAACACTATGGACAACAATGAAGTTGAGTCTAGCCATTGGACTGGCAGTCCAGGAGTTACCAGCATATCCAACAGTCCCTTCCAAACACCTGTATCTGCTAAAGGAGGAAGGATAAATAATAGATCAAAGTCCAATAAATCTACACCTCAAACATCTGCGTCAAATGCTGGTGAGAAACTGTCTGCTACAAGCTTAGTCCCTGGAAGGGAACTTATAATTCATTCCACTGCTGTATTATGAGTACTCTAATGTGTGAAGAAAAAGAGATAGAATATGGAGAAGAAGAATCACTGACATTATATATGGTAACTGGCAGGTTCTCTGTCTCCTGTTACACCCGCTGGCAGCAGCCGTTATGACAGTTCTTTAGGTAATCTTACTCATGTTCTTTTTCTTTTAACGTCTTTTTTTTTTTTTGTTAGCTCCTTAACCTTTTTATAGATGGTGGAATGGTAATAATGTGGTCAAAGTTTTTAGGTCTTTTGACGAAAAGGTTCATCAATCTAATAAAGCATGCTGGAGATGGTATCCTTGACCTAAATAAGGCTGCAGAAACATTGGAGGTAGACAAACAGCTAACTGAGCTTATATATCATTGGGCATTATTGTGTTTTGTCTTGTTACTTAAAGGGTTCTTTTATTTTGTCCTTTTTTTTTTCCTCTAAATGTTGTAACAGGTTCAAAAGAGGAGGATATATGACATAACGAATGTCTTGGAAGGCATTGGTCTTATTGAAAAGAAGCTCAAAAACAGAATACACTGGAAGTAATTATTGATGATGTTAAACATTTTTCAAGAATTTGATGTCTTAATTTGGTTTGTCATTCTGGTTAACCTTCAAAGAACATGGGACTCATTTGAGGATTAATCAAATTTACTAGGGGTGTTGATGCTTCAAGGCCAGGAGAAGCAGATGGTAATGTCTCTGTATTACAGGTATGTGAAAGTAATATCAGTTTTGTTTTCTTTGAAGCAACAATTTTTCCTGTTATTTTGCCTTAGAATGTTTCTCTCTTTCTTTATGTTGATTTATGACTTTCAAGAGAATGGTCAATCACTGCCAGTTAACTGATTTGTGCTGTTTATTCATATGAGCTTAATTTCTATTTTTTATGCAGGGAGAAATCGAAAACCTCTCCATGGAAGAGCGCAGATTAGATGATCAAATAAGGTGGTGCATGGCTTCTACTCTTGTTAGAGTAGTAACTGTTACTTTCTCAAACCTCTTTAGGAATGCTGATGCTTCTAAAATATTGCAGAGAAATGCAGGAAAGATTGAGGGGTTTGAGTGAGAATGAGAACAATCAGAGGTAAGATTTTTACGTCTGCCTTGTAGTGGGTTCCAATTAATTGCAGTTAACTACTGATTTTTTGCAAACAATTATACATTTGCTCATCTTCCAACTGTTTCAGGTGGCTTTTTGTTACTGAAGAAGACATCAAGGGTCTACCTTGTTTTCAGGTCTGTTTATTTTGAGTGTCACTAAATTAATACTTTTGCAATCATCTTATGCATTTGCACCAATCTCCAAGACATCTTGGTTTTTGTACGGCTAAATTTTCCATGTTGCTTTTGGCAGAATGAAACCTTGATAGCGATTAAAGCTCCACATGGAACAACACTGGAAGTGCCTGATCCTGATGAAGTAAGTTGATAGTTGGAGAACTTTAATACCATTTTCCACTTTCATGTTTTGTAGGCATAATGGCATTGGTTGCTCCTATATATTCTAGGCTGTTGACTACTCACAAAGGAGATATAGAATAATCCTTAGAAGCACAATGGGTCCGATTGATGTTTTCCTAGTCAGGTATTGCTCCCTTCTTTTTTATGCTAAATTATTTATCTATACATGTTTATGAACCATCTTTCTTTTGAAATTATATCTAGTTGATGATGGACAAGAGAGGCTCTTGTTTTAATGTCTTTCTCTTTTTGTCTTGCTTTTCAAATTGTTGTTTCCTCAGCCAATTTGAGGAGAAATTTGAAGAGATGAATGGTGTTGAGCCACCAGTGAGTGTCCCACTTTCTTCAAGCTCTGGCTCTAATGAAAACCAAGTTGAGTTGGACAATATGGAGGGCACCAGAAAGGAGATTGAACCACAGGCACAGCAAACTCATCAAATGGGCTCTGATATTAACGCTTCAAAGGAGTCTGTTGGGGGAATAATGAGAATTTTTCCGTCGGATATTGGTGTAAGTGCCATTTTTTTTAACCATTTATTAGTCTAGCCAAGCTTTATAAAGAACGAATATATGAAGAGTGGTTCATGTCAAAGGTTATTTATGAATTCCTGGTAATATGGAATAATTCATTTGGAGCCTTGGTTGTTACCCCTCTTTAGGAGGGTAAGGCCCTAGATTCAAATTCCCTTCTTCCCCTAGGACTTCATCATGCACCAAAAATGATGCTCTTGTTCTTTGTTTTCTGGTTGAATGTGTAAATTAACTATTACTTTTGTTGTCTTGTTTTTAGAATGATGCAGATTATTGGCTTCTATCAGATGCTGATTTTAGCATTACGGATATGTGGAAGACAGACTGTATCCTTATAGAAATTTTAGTTCCTCAATCTGCTCTCCCCCAAAGGCGGGAAGAAGCACATGCACAAACTCATTTTAATTCCTATCCAATATACATTCATGGGCACAACACGTAAATATTAATCCTTAACTCCAAGAATAGCAGGTTTTGAATGGAGTGGGGTAGATATGTTTCATCCAGATTATGGAATGGCTGATGTCAGCACCCCAAGGCCACAAACTCCACCATCTAGTATGGCTGAAGTGCCATCTTCCAATTTTAACTCAACTCGTAGGTAAAATTAATTTTCCTGACCAAGTACTGAAAAGAATGCCGACACCCCCTATCTTTAATTTACATGGATCACTGGATAAAGATGTGGATGGTAAGTTTAGGGGCATCGGAATTTGCTGCACGATTGAGCAATTTTCCTAACCCATGGTTTAGTTACACGTATAAAAAATGTTGCCATTGGAATTCTGGATTAGATGGGTGTTGAAGATGGAATAAATGCAATGGACAACACTGGAACAAGCACAAGGTTGACATTGGGCATCAAATCTGATTATATATGCTCATCAACATCCCTTTGTTGATCTGAGTTGCTTAATTAGTCAGTTTGAAATATCAAAGCTGCCTGCCGAGGATTGATCTGTTGTTTGTCTGAGATCAATCAGTTGTATATGGAGATTGTTACCATCTATATATCATCATGATTGCAGCCAATCCAGTGATTTTTCAACCACATAACTTCCCTGAACTTCATCACTTTGTAGTTGAATTTGAGCTATTGCGTGAAAATTCATAGCGGAGTTTTTCAAGTTCTGTTTTTGCTAATGTAAGATTAGTGGGTTTTCCAAGTTAGATGTATTGCCAATCCATGGTTTTTCATTTTCACCCACATTTCCACTTTATATACATATTTTCGTATTAGATGATTGGTGATAATGGGCAATTAAAAATTGTGACCAGGCTTCAAGTTGCTTCATCTCTTTTCTTCAAAGTTTCCTTCGCTTTGAGAAACATTATTGTACAATCAAAATTAAGAATCAAACTGAATGAGATTTTGGAAATCCCACAGAGAAAGAAATTCAATCAAATGGATAGACCTGAAGGATTGTCTTTTTCGTCATCAATCTGCAACTTCATTTCCTTCTAAGGTATGTCTTAGTTATTATTATATATAAATATATTAATTTTAAACATGACTTAATAATATTTAAAAATGATAAAAAAAAACATAAAAATAATATAGTTTTAAATTTTTAACAAAAATTCGTATTTACTTTATTACACAAAATAGATATAATATAGATATACGAATTGCTACTCTGACTATAAATATATATTGTATTTGAAAACGTCAAAAAATAATCTCTGATTTCGGAACCAGATGTACCCGGGGTTCTCAATCATAGTTTTGCAACTTTTGTTTCAAAGAGGGGGCACACAAACAGCAAAAGCAACCACAATTTGTTAACTAATTAAGGAACCTTTAGGTAGTTCAGGTAATTTGTTTTTGTCTTTGTGCCTTCGCATGGATGAGGTCGAGCGTTGCAAGAATTTGAGCTTGTCCAATCATGGTTCAGAAAAAATTTTCAAGATGCAGACTCTTAAGTCTTGACACACGTGAAATCATAAACGGACCATATTGATTCACCCACATGAAAAGAAGAAAAACATGTGAAGACAAACTAAAGTGTTTGTCGTTGAAACTTTCGTAATTCCATGATACAGGATCCAAATGGCCGATGCTGGCATCCCAAAACAGATTGTTTCCTTCTTCTTAGTACCTGGCTCATTTTTCCTGTTCTTTTGGGAAGGAAAGTGATGCATTAGAAAAATGAAAATGTTGAAGAATTTAAAACAATAATTCAAATGCAAAACATTAAATTTTTGTAACTTCTAAAAGTTCATATTATGTACACATCATGCTATTACTTTAGTTCTTTCCTTGTCAGATTTAGACAAACATTAAATCCAAGACCAATTCTTACAACTGGTAATACACATAATGAAATGTTATAAAATTTAAATTCAGAATTTAATTTAATAATATATTTAATTATTTTAAAAAATAATATTTAATAAGTTTCAATTTTAAATTTTAATACTAGTAATTTATTTTTATATTTTTAAATTATAACTTTTTTTGTAAAAAAAAATTATAAAACAGAATGAAATATGCTGCGAAAAATAGTTCTAAGTTTTGTGTTCATAATTTGCAATATTTATTTTTTTATATAAATGATGATTCGGATTTGTAACGAGATAAGAAACATAAACCGACAAAATTCGTGAGTTGGGAAATAATAATGTTGAAATGACAGCGGCTGTAAGGTTGTGCTTGGCAGCATACTCTAAAAAGGTTCCTTGGAAAAGCACATTGAAACACGACCAAAGGCAGAAAAAAAAAAACACCCAAAAACAATGGAAAAGGAAACATACAAAACTCCAGGCCGCTCGATTTGATCGACCAACTACAAAACAATTTTTGAAAAAATGGCCACATATGGTTTCTCTTTTGTCTTTTTCTTTTTTCAATTGCTTCAAGAAACCAATCCATGACTTGGAAAGCGGGGTTCCATTGTCTTTCGTTCTATGTGATTCCCTCTAATTTAACTTTAATCAGCAAATTACGGCAGCTGGCCACCTTATTAAATGAAAAAAATATTGATACAATACAATACAAATGTAGACTATCAAAAATTATACTTACTGATTTATGATAATATTATTGTCAGTCCATATGATTTTTTTAATAAAAAATTATTATAATCAGTAAAATTTAATTTCAAATTTATTATACAAAAATTATTACATAAATTAACTAAATTAAATTTTAAATTTCATAAATAACCATTCAAAGACCAAAGCAACAGGACTATAATAAAATTAATCATCAACTTCATAATTATGAGATCTCCGAATTTGTATTAAAAACATTGTTATTGGTTGGGCATATGAAACTGTAGTTAATCTAACATATTCATGAAGAATATGTACTTACCTCATTGACTTTTATAGTGCTTTGATCACATATAAGAAGCTTCCAAGTTATTTGGAGTTTTTTTTTTTTTTAATTTTCTCATACCATGTGTTTTAGAATTCATGAGGCTTCATTTAATGATCACATATTATAGTGCTTATAATATTTTCATAATTTTACTAAAAAAAGTTAATGATGTAATCTCGTCGTAACAAAGCTTTACCATAAAAACTTCACTAAAAAAAATGGATGCTTTTTGAGGAACGGTGTAAGTGGAATTTATTTGTTTTAAATTTTAAATGTATTAGTAACGACTTTAACTTCAAGTAAATTTTTTTTTTGTAAAATCAGTGATTTTTTAAAAAATTATTATCATTATAATTAAATATTATATTTAAATAATCAATTAAATAATTAATTATTATATTATAATCAAATTATTACATAACTACTGCTTAGATTCGCCCATAATTGCACTCCGGTCCCTACCATTAAACCATTTCACCTTTATTATGTAAATTAATATATTTTATAAGAGAAAAGATTAATAATTTGTGCACTTTTATAAACTTGTATTGTATATAAAAAATTATTTTTCATAATTAATATTGATTTTTTTTTTCGTTTATTATTTATATGTGGTGTGTTATATTATCAAACGATTTGGCAGCGGCCGCCGTAGGCTTCACTTAAAAGAGGAGGCTCAGACTCCCTTCTCCTTAAAGAAACACTTTCATTTTTACCTTCCTTTTCGAACATGGACGACAAACTAGAGCAATCGTCGCTGTCAACTCTCCGCCGCCGCAACTCCATATCAACCCCTGTCCAAGTCCCCGCAAAGCTAACTCTCCTAACTCCAAAACCTCTCCAAATCGCCACCAGCTTCCCAAGTGGCAGCGCCGCCTCGGCGCCGCTTGACCTCGAATTTATCTCCCTCAATACCTCCTTTGCTTCCTACACTTCACTCAAAGACATCCTCCCTTCTTCCGCCGTCGCTATCAACTCCCCAACCGCCGCAGGATCTGCTACGAATTCCGGGCACGGACTTTCCATCCGTAACCGTTTAGTTAAACAGGCGGCTTGGGCTTGTCTTCAGCCCATGTCTTCTTCCCCTGACTCATCTGGCCCTCACTTTTTCCGTCGGTTTTGGCTTCGGTTCTCTTCTCAAAACCCCATCTCTTCTTGCTTCCGGTTCTTCCACCTCAAATTCCTTCCGGGTCTGACCCGAGTCTTAGATCGGGTCCTCCGATCCATTGGAATCAACTTCACCAGATAACACATAAAGGGTGCGTTTCACACGCAAGACGAAGTGTAGAATAAACAAAAAGCTTTTAAGCTGTACGGACATTCATAATAGAAACATATTTTATATTACAAAGGGAGAAAAAAAGAATGAATAGAATTTCAGACTTGGTATGCAAGAAACAAATGCTGGGTTTCTTTTCTTTTTTTCTTTTGCGATTTTGGGGTTATTTTTTTGTTACAAATTGTTACTTGTGTGGTTTGGTATGACGGTTCTTGAAAAAAGCCTGTTGGAGCTTGAAGTTACTTGGGGACTCTGGAATTGGGTAGTCATCGCTCTGGTCGTATTCTGATCGGCTGTCACGTTCGATTTTTGTCGAAGTCCAATTCTTGTTCTTCCCAGATTTCTGCAACAGGTTTGGTGAAATAACATTGAAGAATTAGAAATTTTAAAGTGCTAATTGTTTCAATATGTAAATGAAAATCAAAGTATTAATCACACCATCGATGAACCAGAATTTGATAAAAAATTTTCATGTTGGATTTTAATCTTAAAGAAATGCTACCACTGAGAAATGCTGGGTTGTTTCGTTTTCTCAATCTTCAAATTCAGGTTTCGCGGTAGTTATAGTTTTAAGCAAAGGGTAGAAATTAGAATAACGTGGAAGGAAGATAACCTGATTGCCATTTTTTATCCTTGAAGATTGACCACCCAAGTATTGTATCATTTCGAAGAATTTTGTCTGCCCCAATTCTGTGTAGTTTTGCCAGTAGAACAAAGCCAAGTCCCATGCTCTATATCTCAGCTCCTGTATCTTTCTTTCCAATTCTGTTTCGTGTCTTGACATGAAAGGCCGCAACAAGGTGTTGTACAAGTAATCGCTTCCCTACAATAAAAAAGCTTATTATTGTCTATTGAGTTCAAGTTTTGAGAAAGATAAAATGTATTCCGTGTACGTTTTGCTTTTACCTTGGTTTTAGGATACCATAGGCCGATTAAGAGTGTAAGCTTCAGCTCGTCATACATCGGCAACCTTCAGGACAGTTAAAAATGTAATATTAGTATTCTAAGCAAATCAGATTGGAGCTATGAAAGTTCAGAGTGCTCTGTATACCATGAAAGGAATGTGTCCCCTATCCTCTCAAAAACTGTCAGAAACGCCACAACAATCCTGCAAAATTCATTGCCACCATGACTTTAAACTTAATAGAAAGCTAAAGAAACGAAGCACAGGCCAGAATCAAAGATTGGTTGAAGTGTGTTTTTTTATAGTAATAACAGAATAAATAAAGACAAGTTGCCCATGTTCCTATTCAATATGATGGTGACTTATCAATTGAGTTCTAATTCTACCATCAACTAATCCATAAATCAAAGTGAATTTTGATCTTACTCCGTTTTATGTGAGATTATTATGGATTCTTGATGTAAAACTTGAATCAAAGTAATGGCTTTTGGGTATTTTCCTGCAATTCTTTGGGGTCCATACCCCTCAAAATCATATGCATGGCCTTTGGCCTAATGGTTCTTATCTTACAACGAAGTGCTGACTCGTTTTAAAACCTGGGATAAATCTAGGAGAGCAACGATAAGCTGTTGCCCTTTCTCCCCTTTTTTGAGTTGAAGAAAAACAGAATTATGACATGGGACTAATTGAAACATAAGTACCACCTAATCAATTTCACCTCAAATGATGTCAAGCATTAGCTCAGATGACATGCATATATTGGACAAACTCCTAGAAATATATTGGTTGGAAATAACAAAGCAACCTAACTGCGTGTGACATGTTCTAAGGAAGTAGCTATTCAAAGGCGGAGTGGATTTAATTGGGAAAGATTAGGCGTTAACGTTGAATTTCTCAACCATAATAGGATAAACAAGCATAAATAAATGAATAAAGACTTTTATGGATTGAATTGGCCAAAGGCCGTCCAGAATGAGAAAAGTCTACGGCTAGAAAGCAAATGCAAGAAAATGTGAAAGGCCAAGACTCTGATACCAATATTGACACCAAAATCTGAGTTCCTCAATCTCGACCTTCTTCTTCTCCACCGTTTTAAAGCATTCGATCGCCGGATATGCATATCCCAGAACCAACCTGAAAAACACAAATCACCAGAAAATAGACAAGATCAAAATCCAGAAATGAAAGTAAACGTTCTTTAATTATAAATTTAACAAGCAAAGAACATTAAATGTAAATCAATAATACATAAAAATAACATGAAGAACAAACAAAAAGCATCGGTAAGTGTCTTACACAAGCAATCTGGTAACGAATTCACCCAACATGTTTTTTAATTCTTATTTCTCCAATCTCGTGCTCTAATTTTCCTGGGGACAAATTAATAATATCCCATAAGAAGAAAAAATCATTGAACTATAGTAAAAAACAAAACAAAAAAAGGCCAACCCAAATTCCCAAACCTGTTTACAAAACCAAAAAGATGGCAAGCCAAATGAGTAAATGAAGTTTACTGATCTATGGTATCAAAAATGGAATCTTTAAAGAACTAAAAACTCTGCAAAGAAAGCAAGAAGAAATGAGTCAGAAGAAAAAACAGAAACAGAAAACCTGCGGAATATTAAGATTGTTTAGAACGAAATATGGGGTTAAAAAGTTAAAACCTCTGGCGAGAAAAATGTGTTGCTTGACAGACAAAGAAAGAAAGAAACGGGTTTTGGGATCAAAGGGAAAATGAAAGAATATGTTTGGTATTTGGTATTTGTAGCAGTTATTAACCAAGTACTTTTAATCTTGTTTTTGTTATTATATAAAAAAAAATGATTGGATTAAAAGGCAGAAATGAAAGCAGGGGAAGGGGGTTTCTTGGCAGGCACGCGTTGGTTTTTTTTTTAATATCGGAGGTGTTATTAGGCTGCTTAAGCTCGAATCTAATTCTTGAAACAAACAACAGCTCCTTTTAAAGTCACTCGGTGGAGAGATTGTTGACGCCGGGACGCTTTGTTAGATTACACGCAATTAATTCACCGCGCAGGGGATTTCCTGGGATTTTTCTTCCAATGGACTTACCATTTGGCTGTTGCAGAATCTTCGTAGGGGTATTTTAGTCATTTCGAAAATTTATCAAAAATTGTTGTTTTAAATATGAAGAAAAAAGGATGAAGAATATATTGGAATAATATGAGAGAGAGAGAGAGAGAGACAATTTCAATTTTCAAAAAATATTTGTCACATGATTGGTAAGTGGTTGCTAAATTGTCCATTCTGCTCTCACTTTATTAAAAGAGAGACGTGTCTTGTAGTGTTGGTTTTTCTGGTTGTTGACGTAAATATGAAAAATCTTGCAAACCTAAATCAATTTCTAATTAGAAAAAAAAAAAAAGGGAAATTTCGGGTAATGTTATAAAGTTTCACATTTTTACATTTTCATCTCTAATTTTTTAGGTGCATTTCATACAATCAAATTTTTTTATAAATATTCTATCATCATGAGAAATATTTCGAAAATAAATTCACATATATCTAGGATTATTTTTAAAAAATTAAGTTTAATATTAAAATATCATTAATTTGATTGTATTAAAAAATAAATAATTTTGAGTATGCATAATAATAAGGAAAAAAAAACTTATAGTAGAAAACCATTTTTTTATCATTAATTTGAGGATTATAAGAAGGGATTAATTATAAAGAAAAAAAAGATTACTAGAGACAATAAACAAAAGTCCTTTTGCCCTTTTGCTTTTTGGGTAGGACCTTCATACTATTCCTTCAGAATCTTCCAATGGTAAAGATTTACCCGACATTGAAGACTTGGTTGACCGCTTCTTTTCTTTTTTTTTTTTCTAGTATCCCCTCGAGGGTGGCATAAATGCTTGTGCAAAAGCTAATTTCATGGTATGTTAGCATGAAGGCAACTCCGTTTTTCTATCTCCTAAATGCAACATTTTATCTTAAAATTCAAACTCAAAGATTTTATATTGTAATATTAAGGAATTAACTTATTATATTTAAGAGAAAATTTGTTTACTTCAATGAACGAGGTGCAAGAAGAAAATTCCTTTTCATTATTATAAATGTGCTTTGAATTTCAATTGTCCATGAAGAAGAAAAATATATATATAAGGTAAGCACTTGAAATTTCATGATCTTCTAAGTAAACCGGTCAAGTTTGGCCTGGCTTAGTAAGCCTTTTAAAAGTTCCGGTTTGATTTGACCCGTCAATTTTAAAATTTTAAAATTTTTTAAAAATGTTAAATTATTATTTTAAAATTTTTATTAAAAATTTAGTATGTTAGACCGAGCCAAGTTTCCAACCATTGGACAGAAATTACAATCTGTATTTGCATTGTAAGCATTTGACTGGTTAAAAATGACCTTATCAACATTGAAATATAATATGTACATTAGCAATTTCCATGATCCTTCATGAATCTTGACAGGCTTTCTTCTCGATGAAGGTTGGCTTCTTTGAATAAATTTCATGACTTTTTTTATTACAATTAATATGTAAGATGTAACTGATTATGTTAACATTTGTTTATTATAAAACCAAATCGAGTCGTTATGGTAGGTCAACTCTTTTCTCATAAGAGTTGGTTTAATATGAAACATGCCGTATAGTTTTGGTTGGAGTAGTTTAACTTGAATGCTTGGACTCTTCCCCTAGTTTCCTTTATGCATAATCCATATGTCAACCATCGATAATATTGATGGACCTTTAAAGCATATTTGGGTTCATAAATTTTAAGAACAATATAGGAATGATACATGAACCCTAAATTCCAAATTAATATAAAATTATAACCCTTTATCACATATACATGTTTTTTTTTTCTTTTGTTGTTTGTTTGATAATAAAAAAATAGTTGTTTATTAAATGATAATAATTATTAAAAATGATTGATATTAATAAACAGTTATATGATTTTTTCATAAAACATTAAATATTAATTTCAATAATTATAATTTAAATTTTAACGATCTTAAATAAAAAATAAATATAAAAAAATTTTATATTTTACTCTTCGTGTTGGTTGGACCATATGAAATTAAAGGGTAGTCTTCAAAAGAAGTATTAAGTTCTGAAATGGGTCCAAGAGCTCATTTTAAATCATAGTTGGTTGGGTTAGCCACGAATATAGATGGGAAGGTTAGTGACTAGGGCAAATGGATGGGCTTTAGCCTTTGGAATTGGCCTAAAAAATTAGTTGTTGCATTTAATTTATGAAATTGAAAAACTATTCCATCTCGTTTATTTGAACTCGACGTTAATCGAATTGAAAATCTAATATATATATATATATATATATATATAATATAATAATATACATAAATAAATTTATCACATGAGCCTTTACGTGGATAATTTTATTAAATAACACACAAAATAGTTTTTTAAAATAATAAGATAATTTCATTTAATTACAAATTAAATAATTTTAAATTTATCTAAATATCATAATTATTTAAATTATAATTAAAAATCAAATCAATTTAAAGATATATTTTTTAAAACTAAAAATACAAAATATGGATTTTATTTTTTTAATAAATAATTTTGGTTGTTTATCAAATAATTATATTTAAAATTTAATTAATTATAAAAATCATTCAAACATATTTAAAAATTACAAAGATTTAGTTTATCTAAATATTTTAATAATCTTTTTATTTTGATTTAAAAAATTATCTTTTAGAAAATTACACATGACTTTATAAATTTAAGCAACTTTATATAAGATTTTAAAAATTCAAAAAATTTTCATTTTAAATTTTTAAATAATAAGACCATTAAAATAATTATATCTATTTAAACTCTAATTAATAATTTTATATTTCAAATAAACGTAAAAAATTTAATATTATTTTTATCACTTATTATATCCATTTTAAATTTTTAAAAATTAATTTAAAAATTATCTATTTAATCTTAATTGACACTAATTAATTCTTCTATAAATTTAAGACTACAAATGTAATGTGTTATACATCAATATTTTTATTTTTCAATAACTTTTTTTCAAAGTATATTTAATTACTATTGTAATTAATTTTTTTTGTTTATAATATTTTTTCAAGATATATTTTATTGTTATTACAATTTCATTCTTATGAAAAAAATTATTTTTTTCAATTTTTTTTTTTTTTCACATATTTTCTAACATTTTTCATATTTTGCATAATAATTTAGTCAAGATTACTAAAGTGAAAATATATTAATATTTTTTTGTTATTTAATTTATCATTCAATAATATATATTTTATTTTTTTAAGAAAAGCATAATTTATTTTTATTTGATATAATCATATAGGTGTATCAATATAATTTTTTAAAAAAATCAAAAGGAAAGACAAATTTTTTTTCATGCTGTTTTTAGAAAGTTCATTTTTTAATTACAAATTAATATATATATATATATATAAATTTTATATATGCTATGAGTTTTAATGATTTGAATATAATTTTAAAAAAATTAATTTATATATATAATTTTGAAAATAAATTAATTTGTATATATATACATATTCATATTAAATAAGTAAAATTATTTTGTATCTCACAAAGGTTATAATCTAGTAATATATAAGAAATTATTCAAATTCGAAATATTTTAAATTTAAAATTATTTGAATTTAAGTAAATTAAAATTTAAAATGATCCAAATTCAAAAATAACTCTTATCTAAACTTATTCATTTATCACTTTTATTTTTAATTAAAATGTTAAAGTAATGATATATATTTATATATAAAAGAATAATTAAACAATTCTAAACTCCATCTATTTGATTAACAAATAGACATTCGATCATTATTAATTTTTTGAGAAAATCACAAAAAAAAAAGAAGAAAAAGCAAGTATTTTTTTTATTTAATGTGGATCATGCTTAGAAAAGTGATGCCAAAGAATATTATCAGTGTCACCTTATTAAATTCGTCTATAAAATTAAAATTATGAATATATCGAATAGTGTCCGGACAAACACAATTTCGAGAACATGAGCAGATCATGTGAAAGATTTGGCAATTGGCATCGCATCTCCCAAAACCCAAACCCGGTTTAAGTGAGAATAGGTTATAATCATAATTACCATTATTACTTTGCTCCAAAAGGTATTAGCTAGGGTATTTGTCAAAGTTTATTTTTTAATAATTATGAAAAATCTATCTATTTGGACTCTGTTGCTGTTAAACTAAAGCTTTTCAAATTTCTAACAAATTACAATTTGTAATTGAAAAATTAAGAAATTGGCCATAAAATGCATTTTTGTTTTCATCATGGGACATTCATCTATAATTTTTTTATCATAATATTATAATTATCTAATTAAAATAAATTTATTTAAAGATTTACTATTCGATTTTACAAAAAATTTTAATAAATTTTAATAAATTTTAAATTATAATTAATTAATTATACTAATCATAGATGATATGTTATTAAAAAAAAAAAGCTAGGTCGTGATTAGATTTGCTCATAGATTAGGTGACTTGTCAAATTTAAAATTTCATTCAAAATTTTAAAGGGTTTAATATGAATATTAAATTAATTAAATATATTTAAATAAATAAATGAGATCCTTGATAAAAAAAAATAAAATTGAATTTCACAATTTAAAGCTTGAATTCAACTTAAAAATTAAAAAATATGTTTTATCATAATAAGATAAAACTCAATTGTTTTATTTTTTTATAAACATATTTTTATTATAATGAGATAAAATTCATTTACTTTATTTTTTATAATAAATAAGCCTCGTTTGCTTTATTATTTAGAATACGATAAAATTTATTTTTTCATACAAAATAATAATATAATTTTAAGTTGTATTCAATAAAATTAAATTAGATCCAAATTTAAGTAATTTATAAATTTAATTAAAATTAATTAAATTAATATTTTTTTAAAAAAATTTTAAATACTAATTCTTTGAACGAATTTAAATTTTATTATTGTATATAAAAACGAATTTAAAAAAAAAAAACCCGATAAATTGAATCAAATTAAACCTAAACTCACTTAAAAATACTAAAATATCGTATCAGACCCGATCCAAACCCGTCGCATCTCGGTCTGGCCAATGAGCAGGCTAGTGACTGGCCGGTGATCACCCTCACCCATTGGGTACTCCTTAATCCGTCTCCCAAGACCCATTGGGTCTTATTACAAATCGCTTTCATGTTTCAGGTTTTCAACCCCACATTCCGCCTAATCAACCGGTGACAGGACATGCTGCTGGATCAGTGAGCTCCATAACCCCTACCCTTATTCAGGCCCCTCTCGGGGTAACCTTGCTTACAGGTTAGTGATTACAGCACAAAAAACAGAAACAGGTGGATGTACAATAATAAATCTATAAAGGGAGTGAAACAAAATGCTAGCTCGCATTGTTTCTCTAACAAGCAGACCAGTTCCTTTTTTTCGCTCCTTCAGGTACAGGTATTTTCAATTATTCATTTGATGATAACATACAGCTATCCAGACGTCTTACCTTTGTTAACTGTTTTGGATTGGATAGCTTGTTCTGGTCTTTTTTTTTTTCCTGCAACAGTTTTTGGTAGCTTTGCATTAGCTTTATAAGACAGTTGATCCATGAAACTATAGGCTTGGTTGTCTCAGTTTCTAAGTACTTATAAGTGTTATGAGAAATGGGTAAAGCCCAGTTGTTGACAATGTTTCACTATGAGTCATTTTTAAGGTAACCCAATTCTTTCATTTTGACGAAATTTTATACGTTTCAGGACAACTGATACATCAAATTGCACAACTAGAGAAATGGGTTTTGAAGATTTGCATTCAGATGTTAAAAAATGTGTGCATCTTCGGTTGTGCAATGTTTCGGGGTAGGGCATGCTTATAATGGTTGTTTTTTAAGGGGTTTCATGTTAATGCTTGTTTTATTGATGTTTTTGGACATCTTTACTGGGCAGTTGTATGACTGAGATACTGGAAATTCATGCTGATCATCCTTCATTTCATGTGGTGTTTGTTCCTGGAAATCCTGGTTTGTTAATGTCTTTGATGTAATATTTTGCTATTAGTTGAATTGTGAGAATTAAGACTCAAGCTTCGGTGGTCATCACAGGTATTATTACCTTTTACAAGGAATTCGTGGAATCATTGTTTGAGTTGCTCGGAGGAACTGCATCTGTATCAGGCAAAAGAATGAGAACCTTTTTTTGAAGAAATTCTCATTGTTGATTATTTGCCCCAATATTGTCGTTAACAATTGCTTTCCCGTGGTTCTTGCAGCTGTTGGGTCTGCAGGTCAGACAGAAAAGGTAGCTACAATACCTTTTTAATTGCTTGCATATATACATACACACACACACGCACATATATATATATATATCATACAATTAATTTTTGTAATCTATGTGCCTCTACATATATAATTTTCTAGTTGTTTCTTTCTTCTCTACCCTCTGTGCAGAACTGGGATCATGGGAACTTGTATTCTTTGCAAGAACAAATTGATCACAAGGTAACCTTCTAATTATTTATTTGGCTTTTATCAAAATTGATAGATTGGAAGAATTTCGATGAGTCTCTTTCAAAATGGTCAATTATTCTCATTCGGTAATTTTAATGTCCTCAGAGGTGAATGTATATAATACATTTTGATTTATCATGTTTATGGAGCCGTTTGAAACATTCTTAACAAACCTACCTGAGTTGGAAGACTGAACTTAATAAGGGAAAACTTGAGGACTCGAGTTTTGTGTTTTAGTCCCTTGAAATCAAATCAAGTGTTCTCAGTGGTTCACTGAACTTCTTTTTCTTATTGAATGTTAATTGGATTGTATTGGCTCTGTCAACTGTAAACATGGTATATCCTTTGTGCCAAGTCATACCTTTCTAGATGATTAACTTTAGTTTAGAGTTATGATCAAATCCATTTTAATTTACCAGTTCATTACACAAGGTTGTAACCTTTGCTTTAATTTTTACTTTTGCAGATTGAGTTCATCAGAGTGCAAAATATTGAAGTCCCTTTAGTTCTAGTAAGAATGTTTTCTTCCCATCTGTTGTTTCTTCTTCCTGCTCACGCAAAAAACAGTTTCTTCCTCCTAGAATATAACCTCTTGAAATGTTTTGCTTTCAGAAAAGAGAAGCATAGAATGCATGTCTGTATCTGTGCAATACCTTTTGGCTTGCATTTTTCAGTCTAACATTTAAAAAAATGCAGCATTTTTGTCAATAAATGCATGAAAGAAATGGTATTTTGCTAATGTAATTAGCTGAGGAGTGGTTTTAATATATTTTGATGGTTTTATTTGAGATAAAAAAATGAGGAAGCAGGATGTTGACAATTTTCATTTTGAACTTTGCTAATTGTTAGCGTTTCTTATTTGTATGTTCAGAGGTTCAGACACCATCATGTTTTACAATTGAAATTCCATTACGCATGTTTCTGAGTTGTCCTTCATACCGTGTTTCTTCTTCATGGTGGCACTGCTTAAAATTAATCAAAGTTATTCTTAATGCCTGCAGGGTCTGATGATATTTCCAATTTGAACTAAATTAGTAGCATTTTTATTGTTTTCTGTTAAGAAGACAGCTGTTCCCCTTTCATCTCTACTAGTGAACAGTATTTTTCACTACTTTGGCTTAGAAAAGCACTAAAATTTCATAAAATGATATATTCCAAAATTGTGGCAGTTGATTTTTTATTTCTAAAATTAAACTAATGGTAATTGATGTCTAAATTTTCCATGAAGGTAGGGCACTCTATCGGTTCATATATATCACTTGAAATGCTAAGGAGGCTTCCAAAGAAGGTGAAATCACTATTTTCAACTGATTTATTCAACATACCTCTTACCTTTCCAGCTGTGCTACCAGAAGAATTTGTTTCCTGAATTCTTTGTCTGGTTTTTTTAGGCGGAATATTGCATTGGACTTTACCCATTTTTAGCCTTAAATCTGCAATCAAAGAAACAGTCTACCATTGTGAAGATTGCGATGTAAGGCTCTTCTGTATCATTAGTAACATTACTTCCTTACTCTACATAGTTTCTGTGAGTAACAATTCAGTACTTTATCATGATGAATAGTTTCTGTGAGTAACATTTCAGTACACTATTATGATGAATGCTAATTTCCAGTGTTCTTCCTTCACTCCACTCTTGCTCTATTTGTTGCACTTTCTCTACATCTTCGGTTGCCTTCTTGCACGGCATGTTTAAATTTCTTTTCCCACTATATTTGATGGTTATTCTCTCTTGGATGGTTGGACCTAATTATTATTCAGTTGCATCTGTTGGAGCTTATGTCCATCAATTTGCTTGCTTTTGTCATTCAACCATTCATGGATGGGGATTTAGAGAAGCAATAGAATTAATTTGTGACTTTCAGGTCCAGAGTACTGTCCACTACGCTTAGTTTTCTTGTAGCATCATTGGGCTTGTTACCCAGACAGGTTTTGAGGTTAATTTTCAAACTTTCTTTTGGAAAGTCATGGTCTAATACTGCCCTTGAAGCTGCTTGCTCTCACTTAGCACAGGTGAAGTCCTGTTAAAATACAGTTCGTTCAAATTATAAGCAATATATTTTTCCTTTTGCAGGTCTGTTTGCATCCTGTGTAAAAATTGCCCTAGAGGACTTTCTAATTGTCTTCTGGCATATTATCGTGCACACACACATACATATATATATTCTCATGACTAATATTAAAAGCATAGTGCATGTTTAATATTGAAGACATTAACCTTTGTCTCATATTTTATTTATTTGCATGCAGTATCATACTATGCGCAATATGCTATTTATGGCCATGACAGAGTTCAGAAAGGTATACTCATGCTGACAACAGGAAATCAGTGCTGTAAGATAGTAAAAGTCTATAAAAATTGATTATAACAACAGAACTATCCTCTATGAAAACATTTCATAACGATACATTGGATTTTTTATTGCTAAGACATATCATGTTCTTGATCAAGTGCTCTTTTTGTCATTGTATCCGTGCAACCTTCCTCCTAGGGAGTCACCTTCACTGATTTTGTCATCCTTTTCTTGTAGAACCTTCAAATTTTCAAAACTTTTGACTCACAATAATGTAGAAGTAATTTTCCTCATCCTGCAAAACCATAATAAAGCCTTTTATGAATTGTGCTAATGCTGGTCCATTTGGGTTTCTCTAGTTGTTGATAACCTTTTTCCAACTTGGTTTGTTTGCTTTTGGTGCACTTCTATACAGTAATAATAGCATATGGATACCGAGGTTGACTGCACATTTTATGATAATTGATCTGCCTTTTGAATAAGTTTTCAGCTAATAAATCCTGATGCTTCTTGTTTTGATAACCTTGGGTTAGAAATTTTTAGTTTCAAAACAAAGACTGCAGCTTTCCTGGTTTCCCACTCCATTTTGTGGCATTATGATTTCCTTTGTTTTCTTGGTTCAATTCCTACTGCATCTATCACTTAATCCATCCTGCTGAAAATATAGGGCAGTGTTACTCAACTATAAACTTACATTAGCAATGTTGTGGTAGCTACTTACTTTAATCCTTTTCTTATAGCTTTCAGAAACACCGGATTGGGAATTTATGACAGAAAACCAGGATAAAATTACATTCTTGTATGGCATTGATGATCACTGGGGTCCATTACAAATGTTCGAAGAGGTAAAAACAATGGACTATCTCTCTTAAGTCCTCTATTTTGGTTTGGGAGCACCAAAACCCTCTATTGCTAGAAGGGCATAAAAGTCATTTCTGAATTATTGTAGCTCCTCAGGGCTAGGGATGGCGAGTTAACCCGTCCCCGACGGGTTCCGGCCCGACCCGACCTCACGGGGTCGGGTTTTTTTTTTGAAATTCGGGTTTCGGGGTCGGGTCGGGTCGGGTACAATAAGAAAACAGTCGGGGTCGGGTTTACCTAAAACCCGACCCGACCCGATATTATATAAAAAATTATTTTTTAATTAATTATTTAATTTTTTATTATATATATATTTATATAATGATATTTTTAAATATTTATATTTAAAAAATAATATTTTATATTTTAAAAAATAATATTTCATTAATTTCGGGTCGGATCGGGTCGGGTACGGTTGCGTGGTGTCGGGGGTCGGGTCAGGTTCGGGTATGAAAAATCAAAAAAAATTTCGGGTAGGGTCGGGTTCGGGTTTAATAAAGCTTAAATCGGGTCGGGTTCGGGGCGAGCAAAACCCGCCCCGATGCCAACCCTACTCAGGGCTTGTGTTTGCGTGAGAGATATGTAGGTAATGATATAGTTGCTAGTTCTTTTTTTATTATTATTTTTATAATTTTAAGGGGAGGGGCAATTTAACCATAACACTCAATTGGTTTTTATGAGGTTGGGAATGCAATTCAATAATGTTGATGATAATGGGTCACAGTGATGATAGTCATTAATTTTCTCAAAGAATAATGGCAAATCTTATATCATCATCATTACAATCATGTCTCATTATCACCTCTTCGTTACGCTTGTTAAAATATTGGAAAACAATCAACTGGTTGGGTTGCTAGATTAATAACGAAGAAAAAAAAAAGAGAGACACTAAGTAGGCCTGCTATTGAATATAAGTTCCTTATCAATTAGATATGCCTTGCAGTAAAATTCCTGATAGAATAGAATGACGTATGATATGTGGCTGATCCTGTATACGTCGGAAAAACCAACTTGTTGCTTAGAAATGTTGCACCTATACTGATGTAAAGATGGTCCATCTGATAAAGGGAAATAATGTGGAACGAAAGGGGGCAAGTAAAGAGTGTAGTTATCGCACTGGCCATCAAGATCATGGTGTTTCTACTTTTGATATTGAGCTTTTCCTGTTTTCCATCAAAATATTTTCCTCTTAACAGTTTTGCCACCTTTACTTGGCATTGTTTACCTTTGGGTGCCAGGGCACATCTTTAATTCAGTATATATATATTTTTTTCAGATCTCTAAGCAGGCCTCAGGCATTGCTCTATCAATTGAAAGGGAGGGCCACACTCATAGTTTTTGTTGTACAGAGGCTGGCTCAGTATGGGTTGCTCACCATGTTGCTAGCTTGATAAAGAACAAATTAGCAAATTCATGTCGGTAAGATCAGACTTACTACCTTCTAGGTTTGGATTGCGGTGCAGTGGTTGAGCATTATTGACTGCAGCAAACCGGATGACCGATAAATGATATTAAAGAATCATGTTCAACTTGCAATGGGATTTGAAATAACTCTAATACTTTTAACTAAAATGTAATGCTGCTTCATTTTATGTGTTAATCACCTAATAAACATTGTAGTTATAGCAGCATTGGTTCCAACTTTCATAGAGAAACTTGTGTATGCATATGCTATATATGTGAACCTAGTGCTCCATTTTATAAAGATGCTGTCATCTATGATCTAGGTGTGCTGTAAACTTGTAATCCTAGTATACAAACAATATAGAAGACAAAAAATTGAATTGTTATATGCTACTTTTATCAAATTTCGACTCTATCCAGTGAGCTTGAGCCCATGGCTTGTTGGCTTCTGAGTTAGGTCAGAGCTTATTACACGGTTTGCTGTACCTAGTGTGGAGGTACTTCTGCTCAAACTTGTCTAAATTCAATTACATTCGTCAGACTTATCCATATGGGAAATGATTAAGTTGAACATTTTGTAGGTTTTTTGTTTTTTCTTATATTTGGAAAATTACATCTGAATACCATATAGACTTGGGGTGTCTGATTTGCATGTGATATGGGTAGATTAGGATAAGTTGAAGAGCTGGGTACCATAGCCTTTTATTATCCCTACTGCTATGCAGTCTTTAATGCTTAGTTTTTAACATTGTGGTTCCAACTTGTTAGTAAATGAGATCAGCAACAAGCTGGGTTGCTGCCTGAAGCAGAATCATTTCACTGATAGTATTACCAAATATTGGCAGCAGAATCACAAGATTACTTGTGGTTGCTGAGCAGCTTGTTTGGTATTAGTTACACCTGACTATTTAAAATCGGTGACATCACATGAAAATAATATAAATAAAAGAAAAAAATAATAATTTAAAATTTCTTAAAAAATCATTAATAGGTTTAGTAAAATAATAAAAAATATATTTTATATTTTTGTGCTGGCATGATTTGTAATATATAATTTTTATCTAAAATAATTTGAATATATGAATTATCAATATTTTATATTTGGATATACAAATTATCCGATCTAGTATTAACTTTGTATTTTGCCTCGTGAACCTAGATATGCGGACCAGCCCCCTGTACCCCACCAAACCTCTGCATGATCCGCACCGTGATCCTTTTGTAGAAGCCCATCATAATGGAAAAATGTAAAGACTTGAGAATAGAGAATGGAGAATGGAGAATGATAATGCAATAATATTGAACGTGAATGTTAAAAGTATAATCAACTTGTTATGAAGCCCTCTGATTCTCCATTCTGGCCCCACCCAGCCATGAACACTTCCACAGGACCCCTATCTTCGTCCCCCATCTCCCATCATTTTCTCCTTGATTTGGATGCTTATGCTCACTTACCAGATGTGGCTGCCATACTGCCATTAGAAGCAATGAACTGTTCTAAAGGTGTGGATGGCTTTTGGTTCTTTGATTGAGCAAAGCATAAGGTCTCGAATTTTTTTCCCTCATTTTCCTCAATTAAAATTTTCTTACTTTTTACACCATAACCAAACACAAGAAAATGAAATCCTTGATTTTCATTTTTTTCCTCATATTTTTCTTGAACCAAACTGGTTTACTTCACCGAATTTATTTAGGTACCACCGACTTTCCCAGTATAGTTATTTTAATTTTTTATGGTATTTAATAATTTTTAATACGCAACATCAAATTGTGTATATAGAAAATGAAGTGTTAACCGGTGTTCGGTGGGATTGATTAATATGATATCTAAGAAAAAAATGTAATTAATGTATTATTTTTTAAATATTATGAAATCAGTGCATTAAATGCAATATTTTTCTTAAATAACAATTTAATTATCCTTAATTATTATTTATGAACACCAATTAATCACACCAAATAAAAAAAAAAAAAAAACTGACCCTTAATGTATCTTGCATGGTATCAATCTTCCAAATCAATACATTAACAATACGTTTCCCAAAAAAATAAAAAAACATTAAACAATCATTTAATCAAATTGACCAATCAACCCTTTGTATGAATGAATCGGTCTTTTCTTGAATGACACGGTACCCTATCTTGTTGAAGTTGGAAATCCCCAACATCTCAATCAACTCTTCGTATTAATTAAGGACAAGCATTTAAGAACTTCCATTTTTAAAAACCATTTAATGATCCAAATGCTTGCAAAAACCTCTTTTTTAATCACTCAAATTGGACCGTTGTGATCAAGTTGTCATATAACTGAAAGTCACAATGCAGCTACTGTATCACCCATGGACCCTCCTTGCTCTCAAGCAGTATTTATAGGCAACTCCTCCATGCCTAGGTGCTTCAACCCAGCTCAAAGCTCCCAACAATCTGTTCTTCACCTCTTTTTTTAATTTTTGTCTCTTGAAATCTTAAGCAAAACTCTAAAAACTTCTTATTTTCTTAGTTTTAATTTCGCTCTGTTGCAAAAGTAGCTGTTTAAAAAATGTCAAGCAACCGGAAAAAGCTGGTCCTTAACACTGTTTCAGTCAGCTTAGGCTGCAGCAGCTGCAAGAAACCGAAGCTAAGCAGTTTTTTCAACCCGAAGCCGAAACCAAAACCTAAATACCACTCTTACAAGACCCATTCTCTTTGCAATTACTCTTCTTCAAGCTCCTCCAAGAAAACAACCAATCATTCTTTCTCCGATTACGAAACCGCCACCTCTTTTTCTCCGAGCACAGACAATCCTCGGTACTGGGACATGGACACCGACACAGACCAAGACTCCAAGTCTTCAATGGCAACAGTACGAGGGTTCGGACGTATCGGGGGAGAGAGCCTGGCTGTGGAGAAAGACTCTGATGACCCTTACTTGGATTTCAGGCACTCCATGTTGCAAATGATATTGGAGAAAGAGATATATTCGAAAGATGATTTAAGGGAGCTTCTCAACTGTTTCCTGCAGCTGAATTCGCCTTATCACCATGGAATTATTGTTAGAGCTTTCACGGAGATCTGGAACGGAGTGTTCTCTGTCAAGCCTGGTGGTGGTGCTTCCCCGAAGCTGCATTTTGGGTTCAGGTCTCATGACTTCTAGGTGCTGCTGCTGCCACGCATTTTCTTTGGGGTTTAGCTTCAAGTACGGTCCAATGGCTTTAATAAAATACTAGTAAATTCTGACAGATGTTTATAAACAAGGTGGTATTTAAGGAAATATTTTCTCGTTTAATGCAATAGTAAATTGTTTCACGCATTAAAGGAAAATATTTCTTTAAATAAATCTTTTTAAGAAGTGTGTTCATGGTACTCCATAGCTAATCTTCAGTAAAAGTCTTGTAAAAGGCTCAGCAAAATTTGGTATATGGGTCTTTGTGTAAGCATATGGTAGTGTAGAAGTTACTCTTTTGAACTTTGGCAATGGTTGTGGCAAAATTAATAGAAATAAGCCGTATCATCTTTTTTTGTTTCATTTTCTTTCCATTTTGGCTATTCACAAAGTTATACCAGCTGACAAGTTTACCCCACAAAAGGGTTTTTTCGCTGTAAGGGTAAAGTTGAGGTATGGTTGCATAAATAAAATGTTGAGAAACGTTTAAATAATGGTGAATTTGTTGGATTTGATCTTGGAGATCATGGTGGATGATTGGGGATTTGACTTGAGGTGATTTCAGATATATTATTTGACATGTTAATTTGCAAAGAAACTATGATCAATTATAAAAATTAGCCCAAGTAAACAGAAAAGATTGCTGGTGGGTCATCGGGGAAGAGATCATTGTCACCTTTTGCCCTCTTTGGAAAAATATGTGGCAAGTTTTTAGTGGTAAAGAACATAGGGCAGCTTGTAGAAGAGCCAAGGCAAATGGGTTGATGGTGGCCTGATACGTTGTTTGTTCCTCAAAATCATGGCCCCATTTTGTATATGCGGCCTTGGTCTTGGGTGGGAAAAGATGGGCATTGGGATTTGAACAGTAAATATTAAAGAAGATTGTCGTTTTGTAAGTGGTGAAAAGAAACACATCTGCTTCAATGCGGCTTTAATGTAATAAGAAGTGGAGGAGTAATTTTTATGACAGGCTTTCTACATTTCCGAAACAGTAACCCCTAGTTATCATTAAAGTTGCCACTTGATTTTTATGCATGTGGGTTTCCCTCCCTCTCTCTCACATTGACAGCTTGCACCAACTTCAATTTCTCCAAGATATTTCTAGGTCAATTCAAGATTTTGGTTTACGGTAAATGATGGATTTGAAGCAGATCTTACTTGTATACTCTTATCTTTGACGACCTGAAAAGCAGAAATCGGGATTTGAATCCCAAGCCTTCAGGAAGCCCTTTGTTTATATATTTATGTTTACATACTTATATTTATGCAATTAAAATATAATATTATAATTTTTTTTATCTTCATATTGAGACATTTCATGCGCAATAAAATCTTAAACAGTAGATTCTTTGACATGAGAAAAATCAAATTCGAGAATTTTTAACCAGAAGGCCATGAATATTGTTGTTTTTATATTTTATCTTATCATCAGCCTCTGGTAAACATAACTACCAGTTATTCATGATCAAGTTCAGATTCATAATATACTCTTGAAGTCATTAAGATTCAACCAAACTAATTGTAGCTAGCTACGTCATGAAGGAGTTTCCACGTTCAAATATTTAATAATCAAAATTAACAAAAATTTCAATCAATTTCCATAACTGGTCAAGCTAATCATCTTTGATTTTAGTAATTAAATGAAGAACTGACGGGCATCTGAGTTTGAACTGTATGATCAAATAGACTACCAACCAAAATTTGAAGTTATTATTATTATTATTTATATGAGAATGGACTAATGCAGTGGAGCAGAGATAATTATGGCTGAGCCTATTTCTATCTTTTCATTTCAATAACTATTTCATAAATGTAGTTTGTCTGATGAAATTAAAATGTGGTCAAGTTTCAAGACAGTCAAATCCATAGATCAATTCTGGGAATCTTCATGCTGCTGCGAAGGGGAAACACAAGGGACCTTTGCAAACAAAGCATCCTCCTTTTATAATTAACATTTTCTAACATTTCCAAATCAAAAGTGGCAAGCTTGCCAGTCTAGCTTAATCTTAATTTTCTTCATATATATCTTTGCTACAGAAGGGAAAAAAATATAGTTCTTGCCTGCTTGCTCCCACTTCCAATGCCTCCTTTCTTCCCCTATATGTTTTGTATCTGTATGTATCAATCTGAATTCAGGATTTCGATGAAGTAGATTTGTCAATGGACCTCGTTTTTCTAACAGTTTGAACCCAAGATTTTTCTGCTGTGAGCAATACTAATCAGTTAATTTTTGTAGAGGTTTTCCCATTGCTATTCTTTTGTTGCAAAATCTTACCACTCAGGGTCTCAAGGTAGAAAGCAAATATCATATGATCAGAAATTGGTTCTAGTAAGTAGACAAAATGACAGATGAATTTAATCCCTTAACACCTTTCTCTCATAGTGGGGGACATTTCTTAACTTTTGGTGTGGCCGGTAAAAAAAATGCAGGCTAAAATGGTCACTATCCCTACCCTGAAACCAAACACTAAAAAACATAGACACCTGCAAGAAAAAGTTGATGGTTGATTTTAAAAGGAATGAGAAGCATGTAAAATGCCCAAGAATCTAAATATAGTACCAGCTTGAAATGTAAAATCTAGGAAGCTAATTCACTTGATATAGAAGTGGAAAATGTGTTTAAAAAAAAAAGTGGTAAATAGTAATGATTTGTAATTCAATATTATCAAGTCCATTTTAAAATTGAAAATTTAAAAATTTAGATTAATGAGTTATGAACTAAAAAATCAGAAAAAAAAAATGGTGGTAGATGGGTTGGGTAACATTTATAATTATTCATAGTACATATTCAAGCAGTCTTAATGATGCATAAATAGTATATTAAGTTCACACATGAAACATTCAATTTGTAACTATTCAGTGTTTATACGAAGCAAAACCATGCTTTAAAATGCCACTTTACTGTACATGCTATTATATCTTTATCTCTTTTCACAGTATCTCATAACTATTCCATAAATGAGGTTGTCTGATCAATAGAAGGGACTTAAATGTGGCGTGCTTTCAAGTGTTTGTCAAATCCAAATATCGTCAATCTCAAAATCTTTTGGTGCTAGTGGAAACATCCAGGGACCTTCATCATGAGCCATATCCAAACCCAGACTTGAGAAATCTCTTTCAGTCTGATAGAGAGATTATTAAGGATTGCAAGCAACCCAGTGCCAGTCCAAAACTTTTTCAACTTGTTTTTGTTAACAAACAAATTTTTACTAGCAGAAGAAAGATATTCTCAAGTGTACTTTATCTTATGTTTCGAGGGAAAAATTTTGTAGCTAGCTTGGACTTTATACACTATACATTGATGATAATTTTATCCTTGCAAACCAATTTTCATCCTTGGTAAAAAGGCTAAGCTATTTTTTTGCCATAATTATTTGGGATTCTTTATCATTTATGTATGAAAATAAAATAAAATTTTAAATTTTTATATAAAAAATATTTATTTGAATTGATTGAATTAAATTTTTAAAATTTTTAATTACAATAGAATCAGCTTATTATTTATTAAAATGCTGATCACAAATTTAAAATAAAGCAATACAATAGTACTTTGGGATCTTCTTAAAATTAATTCTTTTGCTGCAAAATTAACAAGTCAGCCTCAATGCCTCAATGTAGAAAAATATCAGAGCAGACATAATGGCTATCTCTATCTAGCTGAACTTTTTAACACCTTCCCTCTTAGTGGGGAACACCTCTTTTGTGGCCAGAAAAACTCACATTGCCTGGCTCAACCGAAAGCAAAAAACTAACATGGGTTTCTACAAGACAAGGAATAATTTCTTTAAAAAAAAAAAAAAAGAAGAAAATGAAACAAGTTCATCTCTATTTGTTGAAATTTCAATTCCTTAATTACAAAGAAAATCTCACCAATTACAGATTTAAGGATTCTTCTGAATCCCTTTTTCTTGGGATTATAATTAGGTTATGACCCATTATTAGATTTTATGATAGGATTTTTTAACTTCTGTTAGCCCTCTTTTATGACAAAAAAAAAAAAAAAAAAAAGAAATTTGGGTGTTGGACCAGAAATGGATTATGGTGTGGTTCTTAATCGTCATGGAAAATTTGTCAATATTAGAAATATGTGTGGTTGATGTAAAAAGAACAGACAATTATAAAGTTTGAAAAATGAAGCTAAAGTACCTTAGGGCTCTCCTTGCCCAATGAACTGTTACATTTTGCATTTGGAAGATCAAAAGATTTGAGACTAAAAGGTAAAGAGGTTGTGACAATACAAAAGAAAAAGAATGGCCTTGTCTTAAAAGGTTTTATATTTCCTGATGTTTCCTTTGAAAGACACAAAGGGTGGTTCTAACACCACCCGCACATCATTCGCTACAAACCTTCATTCACCAATGGGCTTTTGATGGCCTGTAATCCGTACAGGAAATTGCCAACAATGGACACAACAAAAGCAACCCATAAAGTAACAAACCCAAAATAATTGACACAACAAAAGCAACCCACAAAGTGACAAACCCAAAACAATTGACTACATTGTCATGAGCTTAAAGGCCCATGTATTCTTATAGTAAATAATAGCATTTTATGACTGAATATTTAAGAATTTTAAGGTTTTATTTGGGCGAGTGGTGAGATTAAAAAAAAAAAAAATTATTATAATTGTGATAAAAAATTAATAAAATATTTATGTTGAATGAATTTTATTAAAATTAATATTTAAATTTAACTGATGATGCGATGATTTAATTATAACATATCCAAAATACACTAAAATTAAATTATAATCAATGAAACACGATTGTGGTTTAATGAATGATACTTTAAGTTTTTTTTTTTTTTTTTTTTTGCAAAAATACAGTCCTTTTAAATTGTGACTTGTTTTTTTCACCATCAAGCAAATGTCAGGGATGGCATTGAAGCTAATGGAAAGAAGAGGTGGTCAGATGGTAGGTGCAATCAGAAAAAAATGCATTCAAGGTAAGAATAAACAGCTATGAGTAATGAGAACAAAATGGCTGGAGACAAAGCATGAGCCAAGTTTTTAGCAGGGTTTAATTATTCAATCGAAACTCAACTGCAAGTTATATATTAATTTGGACAGCAAAAGGACTCATTCACAAGTCATATCTCACAATTCCAAAAACCAATTTCATAATTTGGATCAATTTTCTATGAACTAAATTTCCAGCTAGTAGTAACTTTTTTCCTTTTTCTCTGATTTATCTGTGGATTTCATTTGCCATATGATGTTTGGTTTGTTTAATCATTATTCTACCATCTTACTTTTGTTGCTCCCAATTGACTAGGGAGAAATTTCCATAACAAAGAAAAAATTAAGAATGATGGATCATTTAAATCTAAATTATAATGACAGTGTTGTTGAAAGGAACAGAAGGCTCTGGTCCAGGGGAAAAGAGGCCATTGATACACTTTAACATCAAAGAGCTTAGTTGGAAGTTGGTTTAGAGTTTGAACAGGGATTTGAAAAAACGATGATGGCCTGTTCTTGCCATTTTTATTTAAAAA